AAAATAACGGAAGAGTCAAACAAAAACAACTTTGTATAAACAACCTTTGTCTAAATGTATGTCTCCCCAAGAGCATGCATTTATTTACCGGCGGGTTCCCAAAAGGCCATCTGGATTTATGAGGATTCCCATAATGATTGCCAAGGCCACTTGAAATGAATATTAAATGTGTTCAAACACAGGAGACCTAAAGCCCAAGCACACAATTCCATATAGTATATCTCTAAGATGCAAACACACACTTTTCTATTTCACACTCACAATGTCTCTCTCTCCCCCCACTCTCTTTCCCACACACACACACACACCCCTGCAGCTGAAAAGGAGAGCTACAGTGACAAACAGCTCTCCTACTCCAGAGTTGGCAGGAAATCTATCACGCCGGACAATAAAATTGCAATTGAGTTTCTTTAGCTTTTTTTTTTTTTCTCCTCAGCAGATGCATGTATCTCTCTAGCTCTGCGCTGCAGCACCTTCCAGCTCATACGGACGACCCCCTTTTCTGTTTTTAGATCAGAGCACAGCCGTTGTAAACAGAACAGTACTTTACCTGCATTAATCTTGTGCAATTACAGCGCAAGAAAGCAATTACAGGCTTGACCCATAGGAAGGGGAGTGATCAATTTGTGTGCACTTGCCTCAGCAAGGAGCTACTTAAGGAATGCAAGCAGACCCCAATACAATGTGTCTGCATGTAAAAGAGTGAAAGCAAAAGCTGGCTGATGCTGCTCGATACACCGAAGTGTTATTATTTTTACTACTATTATTATTTTACTATATTTCAAAAAATGTGGGGTGTGATTCCGTAGAGTGATTTAAAATGTATGTGATTTTCATCTTTACCTAAGAAGACATTATGCATGTTTCTATCATTATCATCATTAGAATTAACATTTGCATTTCAGTATGATATTAAATTTTTGTTTGACAGCACGAGTTGACAGTTTCTTACCTTCCTTTAAAATGTTTCACTATCACTGTTATTATGCTCTTTTGTAAATAATAATGATTAAGAACAGCTGGACATGAACAAACATAAATGAAAATGAACCTATTGATTTTATTTATAGGAGTGCTTCATAAGAAATAAACAACAAATACATTGCCAATGATTGAGCTGCAATATGCAAAACATGGTCACACTTTAAAATAAGGTTTTATTAGTTAATGTACAATGTAAAAATAACTACTAAATTTACAGTAACTTACTGGCATTTTTGATAGACAGTAAGACTGTAATTTTAGAAGCACACAGTAATGAAATATATATACAATTGTAATGTAAAAATACAGCACATTTGTAATTGTTTCTTTACAGTGCTTATAAAATTATACGTTTACTGTCAACAAAAAATGCCAGTAAGTTACTGTAAATTATACAGTAAATTCTTTACAGTGTATTTGCTAACAACAACACAAACAAATGAACAATACTTAAATGACATTTTTTCGTCTTAATAAATCAACACTAATGCATTGTTGAAATCCAAAGGTGTGCTAGTTAACATTAGTAGTTGCACTGTGGGTTAACAAGAACTTAACTTGATTTTTATTAACTAACATTAACAAAGATAAATAAATACTGAAATAAAAGTATTGTTCATTGTTTGCTCGTGTAAGTAAATACATGAACTTAATATTAAGAAATAGAACCTTATTGTACTCAAAACATTGCCAACTATTATGGTTGATAATACTTAAAATGATGTCAATTTGTATATCACTATCAAAAATATATATTTTTTAAATTGTGTGCATCTTTCTAACTTTACAAAGTTGATATATGCAATCTGTAATTAAAACATTCATAAGCAAAACCAGATTCAATTATCAATAAACCATTTAAGGCAGAGGTGCCCAATCAAGTTTTTGTTTGTTTTATTGCATAAATCACATTTTTTGTTGTTGTTGTTTTTCTTCCAAATTTTAATGTTGTCATTTAGAGCTTTTTTTGACTAAGCCATATTTTCATATAATGAATGTTTTAACTTGAGAAGAGTTAATAATCAATATTTGGCTGATTAATCTAGATTTTTAATACAGCAAATGAAAACATCTGCCTTACTAGCCAATTGTCAGTTTCTAAAGAAAAGTACTTCGTTTTGAAGTACTGTCATGTGACCATTCTAAAATAAATGAATTTATTTATTTATTTATTTAAATTTGTTTTTGTATTTACTACATTTACTAATTTAGCAGACCCTTTTGTCCAAAGCAGTTTAAAATTGACCTAGTAAAATTTATCATTTAGAATTTTAATAGCAAATATTATATTTAGTAAAAAATATATAGTTAATATACAGTGCTTAGCATATACAAGTACACCCCTCATAAATCTAATTTTAAACTCATATTCTTTATTCAATTTATCATACAATATTATATTTGTGCATATTCATTAGATAGGTCAGTACTGAAGCCAAATCTCACAAAATAACTTACAATAACGGTAAAAAACTAGTAGACCCAATTTATGTTATAGAAAAATATTATATACAAATTCTAGAGAAGCAAAAAAAATTGAAAAGATTTGTTAAAATTTTGTAGGTTGTATTTTATTTCGCAATATTTTGCTTGAATTTAAATGTATTATTTTTCAATTTATATATATATATATATATATATATATATATATATATATATATATATATATATATATATATATTTGGTGACTAAAATATTATTTTAATAAATATATTGGTTTAATAAATCTGTTTTGTTTAAATTCACCAAAATACATTGCCTATATTCACAGAGAAATGGCTAAAAATGTTCATTTTTAAAATGGGGTGTACTCAATTATGCCGAGCACTGTATCAGTAAAAACAATAATAAAACAAAAATGATCAAACATAAATTAGAAATAAGCATATTCTTTAAGGCTAATAATTATCTAGATCAGCCTGACATGCAACAGTAACACCACCAATGAAAGCCTAGAGTCTGTGGTGGTTAGTCCTCACAACAGAAAACCGGAAGTGTTTAGGAAACCAATTTGAAAACAATCATAATTTTTATGGTCTATTTTGTTGAGGCTAGAACCGCAGAACTCCGAGGCTATATAAACGCTGCATATACTGATGAATAAGCACAGCGAGAACTACAGATCTCCTTATTTCTGCAAGCCTCCCGCACAGCACTGCTGTGCCCCCAAGTGGCCGCTGACAACAAATAGAGCAGAGCATCCGAATACAGCAAAGTGTATAAATGGAGCAATGCCAGCAGCTGATGCCCAAAGCCACAGTCTGACACCAAATCACTTCTCTATGCTTGGAACCGTGTCTGTATTTACAATATCAATAGAGCATTTTAAAATAGACATTTCTGTAGCTAGAAAGCTAAGAAACCTGAGAGCTCTCCGAGACATTAAGAAGGCAATTCAATCTGTAAAGGAAAGTCTGAATGAGGAGTTTGGCAGTGGAGAGAAATAAAGATTCTAATCGGAGAAGTCTAGTTGATTACAGAGTATAATAACAGTCAGGTGTCTGTAGATTAGTGCTGATGCAGGAGTCTGAGCACATGAAGGAACGAGAAATACAAGAGCATAATCAGTGCTGAAGAAAAGAAGAGCCAGGGAGATGGAAGCACATGCTAGTCAGAAAAGCAGGTTGCGAATTATGTATTCAAGTGGCAAAGTCCCTACTCTTAGTCCATTTTAATGCCAACACAGTAACACTACTATGTCAACAAACAAGCAACTAATACTGTAATGCCTACGTTTATATTTAAACATCATTATTAAATTCCATTCTAATTTCTTTATGCACTGGATTATGCACATTGATATGTATAAAGACAGATGTTATTTATGCACTTAAGAAAGAAAATGGTTTGATTTACATTTCATACAAACGAGGTGTTCTATTGCTTTGTGCTAAAAATTGTTAACCTCTCCATCGGACTATGGATGTGAAATGTAACATATTTGGAAAGCTTGCATATGACAAGCATCCATGTGCACAGTAATAACAAAGAAACCCTCTAGCTTGTTTCATATCTGGGAGGTGTTTTTGAACTTAAAAATGGAGATATCAAAAAAAGCTTTGGAAGCGTGAAGTTATGGAATAATGTTTTTTTTTTTTTTTTTGTATTCTTCCTAAACCTGCATGGGGTAAATTTGGAGGATTGATGTATGATAAAACACTTTATACAATGAGGGGGGAAATAATAAATCAATACATCAAATGCAATCAATTAATCAGTCAAGTCAACCAACCAATCCACAATTATTAAATCAGATAGAATACTTCTTGTTAAAATGTGTATACTACTGCATAAAAAACTCAAATATATGCTGCTTTTACATTTTCTATTTAAAGAAATCCAAATAATGTTTAAATAATTGATAACATTTCACATTAATAATATTCAGTTATGATATTTGAATATCAGCATATTAAAATTATATTTGTGAAATGATGTCACTCCGAAAACTGAAGTAATGGCTACTGAATTTCCAGCCTCCCTATTTTATGAAAAAAATCATTTTAAAATAGATAAAAAAAAGAAAACTTTTTTTTTACAATTGGTTGTTGTTTGGTAGTAGTCATAATGAAAAAATTAATAATAACAATTAAAATAAATAATAATATTAAAAAAATATATATATAATATAAATAATAGTTTTTTTCAGGAAATAAAATAAATATTTATCTTATTTTACATTTAATAATAAAAAAGTACAATATACATAGCCCCTTCAAAACTGCCCTTATATAAATGAACACAGAAACTCATGCAGAATGCTATTGCCCCTAAGGAAAACGACACATGTAAAATGAGTCCCACTGATAAAAATTAAATGAGGAAGTATTTAAAACGCATAAATCCTATACTTTGGCAAATCAAAAACTGCCAGGCTTTGTGAATTGTTGCATTGTTTCATAATACATGCATTGCCATACAGTATGCACACTTCAAACATACATCCTTGTGTTTTGTTTTGTTTTGTCTGTGTGTGTGTGTACTGTTGTGTACGTGTGTGTGTTTTGGGTCCTGACCTTGGAGTGTGTGATGGAGAGTGTGTCCACCCACACGCGCCAGCCGCCCCACTCGTACTTAATGGCATGATAAAGAAGAATGCGAAAGATGGCGTACACCATCTCAGTGATCTTCTGCTCCTCGCTGTTCTTGGGGTTTATAAAGCACAGAGAGAGCATCCACTCCTGCCATACAGAGCACTGCAACAGACTCCTACACAAAACGATGAGTGCATACTAATTTCAGAATACACGTAGATGATGATTGTCATGATAAAAAACAGAATACAATACAGTCCTAGACACTGTGTGTGTGTGTGTCGACTTTTTTTTTTTGCTAAATTCTGCTCAATATCACACTGGTGTGACTATCAATTTTCTGGTGCAACTCATACCTGTCAACATTGGGATGTAAAAATAAGGGATAAATCCTTTATCACACTTCATTAACCTTTTCTTCACTATAAAATTCAAACCTTCTGATTAAAGAGCAGCAAATTAATCTCTCATTAGGATTTTTCATTTGATTACATTAAATAACAGCGATGTCACAGCTCTTTAATGAAAGCATTTGCTTGTTTTCCTAACTTGAAGACAAAATTAGATGTGTTTAACAGAAAACCCAGCAAGATCGCCCACGTTTCAATGTTGTTACTATTATTATTATTATTATTATTATTATTTAACTACCAATTGATATAATTGCTTTAAGTGTGATAATAAAAGGTAAATGTGCCAAAAAATTAAACCAAATGTACCAGTTTGGCTCAAAAAAAACAGCTAGAGTGCGAGTCTTTTCTACACTTACAAGTCACAATCACCTGACCACTAAACAGAACTATAAGATCAAGTGAGAAGTGTTTTATTTCAGCAATCCCAAATGTCTCTGTGATTCCAGCTAGTTTAAAGCTCAATAAATATGTTCTGTCATTCTTAACAATGCTGATCCAGAAAACAGCAGAAACACTGTGTAAGAATGAAGTACTTACAGAAGATGTTTCAATCCACACATTAACATTTACCATTGTTTTATAGTTATAACCATGGACTTGTGACAGAAAAGTGGCACAGTGTGTTTGTGTGTGTTATATGCACTGAATTAGGAGTTTGGTCACCTAACATCCATAGGAATAGCAAGATAATACACTTAAATTCAAACTAGTTATTTCTAATTTTTTAATGTTTCTCTAGATTTTTCCTGTTTTTTAAAATTCCTAATACTTTATTAATTTAGGTGGACTAATTTTTGGACTGTGATCTTAAGTTTTTTTTTTTGTTAGATTAGTTACAGTTTTGGCTTTAGTACTTGCTAATCTAATGCAGATGCACAAATATATTATTGTTAAGCAAATATTACAAAAAAAAACAAATAATAAGGTTATTGGACAACTTAAATGTTTTATGTACAATCCACTTAAAATTGTAAAAACAATTATGTTAACTTAATTAATTTGTGTTGTGACACCATGAAGGAAATTTTTGGAACCCAGCATTTTTACGTCATTGATTCCAACCCAAGCTTCAATTACTCTCAGATCAAGCTAATGTCAATTGCTCTTCTTCTCCGAGACAAAACTTCTAATATTATTCATATGACATGTACAACATTACTAAATAAAGTTCTGGTGCCCACAATTATAGAGCTTGAAGCTAATGCTCTCAATCGTTAGTTTGGTCTCTGAATATCTATACAAGCTTGAAAGTCTATTTAATCAGCAAAGCATTTGTCAGTAATAAAGTTGGAATGAAGTAAAAATTGTGTGCAGGTTTTCTGATGGAGCTAAAATGTTTATTAATGGCCTACATTGCTCTTAGTGAAAGATTAAGACCCAAACTATACTTTAGACTTAAAACATTTTACAGAAGTGAGCTAAATGGAAAGTACTAAAAACCTAACATGTTTTCTGCTAGGCGCAAGTGTTAATCCATTTGCATTACTGTATAAAAATGTTAAATATCGCTTTTTGATTGATGTATCTAGGTAAGTGTGTATGTGTCAGTGATTCTTACCTGCGGTTCTCTCGGCTGTTGTTAAAGAGTTTAATCATGTCTGAGAGGAAGATACGCCGCACTTCCATGCTTTCTGCCTCAGGAGGAGCATTCTTTAACAGGGCCGCTATGACTTTCAGGATCTCTGATGGAACAAAATTTAATGCACATGAACCTTTCTGTAGGAAGCTGTTTTGTTCTCTATTCATATTTATCAATGAATCCTACGAAAAAGCATCAATTGCATTAAAAATCCAACACTGATAAAAGTAAATAAAGAAATTATGAGATTGTTTAATTCTAGAAAGATTCATTCCTGTAATTTCATGTCACACAGAAGACTAAAATTGCTGAAAAGTAAAAAAAATAAAATAAATAAAATAAATAAAATAAAACTGCCATTTCTGGAATACATTTGAAGTTAATTAGAAAACAGCTACTTCGATTTGTACTATAATAACACTGTTTAACCATCTTCTGTTTAAACAAATGCAGCTTTGGTAAGCAAAATATTTGTTTTTCTTCTAATTAAACTTTACCAAAGCAAAGTTTTCTGTCCATGTATTTTTTTCACAGCTCATTTTTGATGGTTTTGTAGACGTCTGTCTACTTGTAAGACACAATTATTAGCCCTCCTGTGAATTATTTGTTCTTTTTCACATACTTCCCAAATCATGTTTTATAGAGCAAGGACATTTTCACAATAATTCCCATAATATTGTTTTCTTCTAGCAAAAGTCTTTTTTTTTCTGGAATTATTTACATTTAACATTTTTATCATTATTTTTAAAGACAATATTATAAGCTGCTTTAAAATTTTGATTGTCGATAGCTGAGGTGCCCTAACTTATTCTTATGACGAGTAAAAATCCAAACTTCATAGAGGGCTGTGGGCCAAAGGTAATTACAGCAAACTGTATTACATTAAAGTTGCCATGAGTAATTTCCTAATTTATTTTTCTAATATTTAAAACCAGAAAATATTGCTTTATATGAACTAATTCAGTGTAATTAAAAAAATAATATAGATATAAAGAATGCTTTACAGTAAAAAAAAAAAAAATCCCATTTATAACACAATCCCGAATACACAAGTCGAGCTTTTGCCTTGATTTTCTCACAATGTGCATTGTCCTCTATTCGTAGAGACAGCATTTACTTATTTTTTTTAAATCTGATTAATTTACAACAATTAATTGAAACGTTTAGTTTCAGTTTGCTTTTTTGAAGCTCAACTCAACAATAAAACATACAAAAAAGCAAAATAAAGCCCAAAGTGTCTTCTTTTCAAAGATACATGAACTGTTATTGTAGACTAAATAATTCAGCAACCATTACTGTTTTAGTTTGGGCTGGTCATTCTTGAGAAAATGCCTCTGAGGGTGAGGGAAAAAAGGACACCGATATAGTCTTAGAAAAACTTTACAGAATTCTCATTATGCAGAATCTTAATCAAATTTAAATTATCTTAATCAAATTTAAAACATAAACTCATGAAACACTTGGCTTTTAAGTCACATTTTTTATTCTGGGACATTGAATTAATGTTTTCCTGTTTGTGTATAAAAAAAACAAATATTGAACACAATACTTTTTTTTGTCATGACTTTATAACGTATAACATTTTGTATTTTTAAGCATGAAATGTCCCCTTTTACCAATGATACCTAATTTGTGTTTGTAGCTTACTGGACTCAAGAACTGTTATGATTTAAATTTAGGTGGGTAAAAATCCCCAAAAGTGAGTGCTGGCAAACAGGTTAAATTCAAAATCACAATATTTGTTAAAGGCCTTCTCCCCAATGCTCCCCATCATTCTCCTCCTCCTCCTCTCAGTTGGAATAGGGGGCCAAATCAAAGATTATCATGGGCCAACTTTAGCCCTATGGGCGCTAGTCTGGAAAGCTCTGGTCTACAGAATAAACCAATGCTGGTCAATAACTTGTCAATGTTACATGTGTCACATGTCATTTTCCCATGAACATTTCCTGCTAGTTGTAAAACTATTTTATAAATGTTACAAGAGGCAATACGATCATAACGTTAAAACAGCTGTTATAACATTTTTTTTATCAATATATTGTTCTTTTTGGATTCTCTGAAGCTATAGAAATTAAAAATGTAAAACAGGAAACATGTGGGGACCATTGTTATTGTTTACATCCCTCAAAATGGTCTATAAGTGTGTATATATTCTACATTCTACAAACATTAACTTTAATAAATATACTTTTTGACCCAACACTTTTCTTATAAACTGGGAAAATGACTAAGTATATTGTGGAGGGAGTAAAAGTATGCTCTACATCATAAGGTCGGTATTGTCCAAACTCTGCCGCTAAAGTCATGGCTTCCTGGAACAGAGCGTTAGCTTAAACTGGAAAGATTGGTTGTTTAGATGAATTATCTAGACAATGTCAGCATGCATTAAGTTGAGAAGAGCAGATCAAGTTTCAGCCGTCACAGGGAGTTTAGAGCTCGACAGCATCTGTAACCAATGCTCTCACTCGTTCCAGCAGAATTGTGTTGTTTCTACGCCTTACTCACTTAAATTAGAGTCACTGAACCTTACCAGTAGAAAATTACCTTTGCATGTATCTCTGCGCATTTCAGGTTTTTTTGCTTTCCGAATCCCCATTTGGTCCTGGTTTGTCCCAGAGTTTAATTTAAGAGAAACTTGTGCTTCCTCAGTTTGTTTGATTGGGTCTGACATGGCTAAAGACTGCAATCAGAGCCATTTAGTGGCTTCAACACAGATCAAATCAAAGAGACACACGAGAAAGCTGAAACTCGCCCTCTGATCATCTAGGAGATGGCCTTGAATCAGACTCTTTCGCTCTGCCATCTCCGTCTGAACGTTATAAAATCGACCCAGAATTCCGTGGCATTCTTCTGACTGGCAAGTTGTCAAATCTGCATGTAAATTCAGCTCTAATCAGCTTCTTGCAGTACCTCAAAATTAAACCTCATTAGGGAAAGGCCTTATATGGATTGGTATACAATATTAGTTTCACTTTCTGTATTAAAACCAGAGCATCTGATTGCTCTCTAACCCTGTTCTGAATTCTGAAACGCACACATTAAGCATAAACCAGGGCTGGAATTAAAAAGAATTCAGGCAAATAATATATTCAGAAAATCAGCTTTAAAAAGAAACCAACAACTACAGTGGGAAGCTAATTACTTTTTAATGGGTTTTTCATCTGAGCAACAGTGACCATCAAATGAGCTTCATTTGTCTGAGGTAACCGTATACCTCGCCATTAGATGCAAGGAAAAACGTTGGCTTTTGATTTGCACCGCAACAAGCACAGAAATATGAAATGAGACTTACGTAACACTATTTTTGTAAATCAAGAGTAAAAATAAGCAGTGTTAAGTCATTTTACAATAAAAGGCAGGCTTTGCTTGTGATCTTGCCGCTTCCTCTTGTCTGGAAAACGTCCATTCGCACAAGAAGAGGGGTAGAATGTGCCAGCATAATGGTGATCATTACTGCATCTCTGAACAATCTATTTATTTTATGACAACATTTTGAATTTGAGATTTGACTAAGATATGTTCATAAAGCTGAGTTAATACATATAGTTCGAAGGGGCCTTTAAGCAATAAGAGAAATAGACATTATGCATGTAAATAATAAGAAAAATGCTGAATAAATAAATCAACCTATTTTTTAAAAATCCTTTTATACCTTATTTTCAAAATTGGTTGCATTGCTGTAGAATCACGTTTTACAATCTATACGATTCAATAATGTACATACATTACAAGAACACTAGAATACATTACTAGAACACTAGCTCACCAGTAAACCTAAATAAAATTTTTAAAAGTAGTTCCCTTAAACTTGACAAAACAAATCATGTACATTTTCAATTTTCATAAACAGAAACGATTAAAGAAAATTAGAAATGACAGAAATGACAATTCATTAAAACCGACGTGCATTATGAATATTAGTCATAAACATTTCATTGAAACAAGCGAGGCAGTAAATGTACTATACAAAAACCCACATCTATCACTTATGATTTCAAATATGTGCTAATTTTATTGCTACTTTTTCTTGTTTGATGATAAATATGATTAATATATAATGATTAAATAAGTCACAACATGTTTAAAATAATAATAAAAAAACAAATTATATAAAAATTAAATAAGTCAATATTAAATAAGTCACAGCATGCATGAAATAATTTATAAAAAAAAAATCTATAAAAAATTTTTTTTTGAAAATAAAAATATCTTTAAATGCCTAAATAATTTATGTAACATAATTACAGCTCAAGTACATTGTGTATTTGCGTTATTGTGTGTCATTTAACTCACGTGGGTTTTGAATCTTCACCGTTGAGTCAGGGTCCGGGTGTTGTTTGTGAATGACCTGAGTACAGATCTGCTCTGTAAGAATCTGAAGAAAATCACACAGTACTGGTCACTCACTGATATATACAACATCAAAATTTGACTGAGCAATAATAGTCGAGATCTTGGGAATATTACTGACCAGCCATAAAAGTCAGAAAAAATAATAAAGCAGAAAATCCATGAGAAAAATTACACAAGAACCGACTATGATAATTAAATATTAAATTTAATTAAAGTTCAATTCAATTAAAGTTAAAGGTAATTTATAATAATTTAATTAATTATAATTAAAGATGACATCCAAGTTAATTCTCAGCAAATTCTTAATTACATTAAATGAAACGCATTTAAAACATTAAATTGACTTTAAAAATAAGGAAATTGTCATTTGTTTTGATAGAGCAATCAGTACAAAAATCGACAAGTACACCAAACGTAACTCTGTCACTGAAGTTTGCACAGTGTGATGGTCAAAAACAAAGAGAGACCGACCTCGAAGAGCACGTTGTATGTTGTCACTGTGAACTGGTTTGAGTGGAGCATCAGTCGTTCAGTGAGCAGAGAGAACAGGCCGTGAGCCAGCATCACCTCTGACTTTCTCCTAAAACAGAGAGCATTGAAAAAAAATCTAAACAAAAAAGCAAACCCCAGACTATGATCTACTTCAAATCCAGCCAGGACCCCAACAGGGCAAGACTGCAGCCCAGAACTTCTGAAAAAAATCTCTTCATAGTCACGAAATGAAGCTGTATCTATTTTAAAAGCACTTGGCGGTCAGAATTCCTTCTGGGGGAAATTCACGTCAAGCAAATGGGATTATAAACCAAAGTGAGCTTTATCTATCAAACGCTGCAGAAACTGCATTTGGAAAAACACTCACACGATTAAAGACTTTGACTACATTAGCGGATAAATATTTCCAAGCTGTATGAATTAATAGTGGAGCAAGGGGTAATTTGTTATCAAAACAACCAAGCTATATTCACTCTGGGAAATGACCTAGCTGCTTATTTTTAAGCGTTCATTTTACTCACTTGATGGTATGCTGGGAGATATTTCTGCTAAATATTTATAGCTAGACTGACTAATTTTTGTCAAATAAACAAGTCTGAGCGTAGGAGCACTTATTAAAAATAAGGTTAACGTGTTATTGTATTAATATGATTGACTGTTATCACAAGCTTTAATTCCAAACAATAAAAAAATGACTCACTTTGGTGACAAATACTTGAGAAAGTAGCCCAAGACTTTGAGAGCCTGCACACGAATCCCTTCACTTGTGGATGCCAGCAGCTTAAAGATGACCCTGTGTTATTCAAAAGAGAGTAGTTGTTACATAACATTTCGGAGAGAACACATGAAAAAAATGTTATACATGCTAAACAAATACTGAGGGAAAAAATGAATGAAAGGAGACAAAAAGAAAAAAAACACAGAAATAAAAACAAGCAGATTGTAAGAAAACAAAAGTACAATTAAATTTTAAAACGACCTTGTTTATTATAAGACTTGTTTTAAGAGATTGAAAATGTGTTTCTACTATTTTCTCAGTGTTTATTTTCCAACAAAGAAAATTACCCAACACAAAAATATTTGATATCTTAAAACCACATTTAAGTCTTTAAGTGGTTAGATAATAAATGTGGTTTAACATGCAATGTTTTTTTGTTTGTTTGTTTGTTTGTTTGTTTGTTTGTTTGTTTGTTTGTTTGTTTGTTTGTTTGTTTTATAAAAGGTTCACTTTTATTTTATTTTATTTTTTTTTTTTTTGAGGGGGAGGTAATTTGTCTTTCCTAGATAAATATTAGTGGTGTAATGGATCACAAATCTCACAGTTTGGATTATTGCTGGGCGATATGGGCAAAAATTCATATCTCTTGTCATATGTCTGTTTTTGGAGGACTGACAATACACAATATATTTCCTGTATTTTCCCATAAATACTTTGCTAAATTACCAAATTACTTGAGAGTTAAAGCCTTTATTAAAACTTTATTACACAATTTTTTAAGCAAAATTTAAATCAAACACAAGGGTTTCCCTCACTGTTTACAAATAAACAGCTGCACAAAAAATAACAGCTGCATACATTCTTTGTTACATAAAATACTGTACAAATTTTCTCCTGCTTAAAACTATAAGTTGCGCAACATTTCAAATTATAAAAAAATCTTTGATAAATAAATACAGTACAGGGTTTTTTCCTTCTTAACACTATACACAGCACTACTGTGCTGTTGAGCAAATACCGAAGTAAACCGAATCATAGAAAACAAAGTAGCTACAGTGTCAGAGCAAAAAAGGAACACAAATAGAAACACAACAAAAGTATTGTAGGATAGAAAAGAACCACATTGAAGGTAAATATGAAACACCCAATATTTTTATGTCACAATTACAGGGTTGTTATAAGTTATCACACAACTGTATACCACAGTTGTGTAATTTATAAACAATAAATTAGCTGTATATGTTTTTAGTTACACATTTACATGCATCTATTGTGCACAATTATTAAACATTGCACATATTGAAAATATCTAAAGAGAAGTCTTTCACTCCATGTAAACAAATCCTACACTTTTTCTTTTGTTTTGTTTTGACTAAACTTGTTTTACTAAATAATAAATAAGGAGATGAAAACGAAAAGACTATAGATATGAGAAGTAATGAATATGTTTTTGAGTGCTGTGATAAAATGCTGGTTAAGCATATAAATGTAAACAGTCATTATAACAGACCAGAACGCAGAGCTAAATGTGTTATAACGTTAATGTAAAGAATAGACCGTCGTGTAATAAATACTGAACTTATAATCAGTGAATATAAGGTGGTTCAAAATGCAGTATAAATTTGACCCATTTTGGAGTTTTTAACCCTTTTGAACACATTCAGGTGCTGCTTGTAAATTTGACAAGGTTTCTACATTTGTTCTTGCCATCAATTGCGGAAGAAATAATCACTAAAAGATTTCTGATAAACCGCTATGACAGCTGCAGGCGCGGTGTGTTGTGCGTGCACGCGAGGGGGAGTCATATTTGTCTGGGGAGTCAGATTTTGATACAACACTGGCACTGCATGTTCCTCCATGTTCCTCCAAAACAATGTAATTGCTACATTCACCAGCATCAAGTTCCATTAAGCAGTACTTTTATTCTTTACCATAAACATAAGTGTTTATATCTGAAATATACTGTTCTCCCAGAACTTCTGTGTTATTTTATTGTTTGTAAAGAACTGAAAATGAGTAAAAACTGAATCTCTCTCAATCAAAAGCAGCAAAAGCAATGAATGCAGCGCTTCAATGGATTACTAAACATATGCAAATCATTATCATTTATCATAAATGTTGTGCAAGTTTCACAATCTTTTAATGTTTAATTGTACAGCTTTACACTGAATGCATTAATGCAAGCTGAACAAACAGTGACAGAAAACACATTTAATTAATAACCTAAAAAAGCATTTAGGTCCCACCACTACTTTTTCATCCTTATATTTTACAGGGAAGCCAAAATGCTTTCATTGACGTGATTTAAATGACGCACAGGTGATCTCTCTGTAATTGTCATGAATGTTGGAATAGCCAACAAGTTCAAAAAAGTTATTAACATGTGGGTCACATGCGTTCCCAACTGTGGGCTCATACGGATCACAGATCAACCGTGATCCGTTATACCCCCAAATAAATATACAAACAAAATGAAAAAAAAAAACGGTTTTAACCTCTTGAGATAAAGAAAATAATCTGTGACACAGTCTGGCATGTACACAAAGATGACGAGTACATAAGTAAGTAATAAGTAATAGTAGACTATCCCACTGTCTACATATTCAAATAAATGTGCCTATATCTTTCTTGAGTGGAATTTGATGGAAGTGTAATCTGAATGAGGTTGTCAGATGTAAAATGAAAGTGAGGCCCTCTGTTTTATCACGACGAGCCGTCTAGAAGCCCCCTGCTAGCGTGCACATTTAACCTCATGGCTGTCAGTGGAACTAGCATGTCTATAAAGGCTTTGGAAATGTATATGCCAGCATTTTAGTAGCTCGTGTGATGTATATAGGTATCAAATGAACATAAGAAAGTATTTTTATAGGTTGAGAAGGATGGGCATGTCTCTGCTAAGAATGAGGTATTGTGGTTCCCCGTTATTCCAATGGGAATAACTCAAATTTATCTGTCAGGTTTTTTTTTCCCAAGATCATTTATGGTTTTTAATAAAGGTGCACGTTAAAGAATGTTAATGTCTGGCGCGCAGCTCTTACCGTATTCCATTCCGCTGATCGAAAGCTTGAACCATTGAGCCAGGATGCTCAGACATCAGTGCAACCAGAAGCTGGAGAACATCCATCAGATTATCATCCTGAAGAAAATATGTCACAATAAATAAGCACATTTGTCAGTCAGGTTTCATTCAAAACAAAACTGCTAAATATATCAAATTAAATCAAATAAAATATTTAATTTTACATGTATTTGAATGTCAACATGCGCAAGTTAAAACCATTCCTAATCTAATGTTGGGTCTCTGGACACAAACATGTGCTCTATATCACTGCATTATGTTATACTGTGAATATTATGTTAAAATACCAAAGTTTAGCTATTTCTCATGAGGGATTTGTGGATAAATGTTTATATATCTGTAAAGCACAAATTATAGCTTTAACTTAATTTTGATTATTAGATCAATCTTTTCTTTTTTCCCACTAGGATTCTGCTTTTGTCTGCCATTGGTTTTTCAAATATTCTAACTTCTTGATGGTTCTAACAAAAACATCAAATACTTGATATATTAGTTCGCATTATTGACACTTAAAAAATATGTGTTTAGAATTGTATCAAACATCAAGCTTGAATTGTAAAAATGAGGCCTGGTAGAAAGCTAACATATCCTTCTTTGAAAATCTATATTAGCAAATATTAACAGTGTTTCCCATCCATTAACTAGACTATGGTGGCCTAACACATAATCTTGTGTCCTTATAATGCTTTCAAAAACATAAACATATATATATATATATATATATATATATATATATATATATATTTAAATAAATCAATCAATCAATAAATAAATATATATATAATAACAAGTTATTCTGAAGAATATTAAAAACCAGCAGCCATGGACATCCATGGTAGGAACAACAAATAGTATCGAAGTTCCTTTGTGTTCAATGGGAGAAAGAAAATCATATAGGTATGAAACAAGTAGAGGATGTAAATGAGTTTTGGGTGAAATATCCTTTTAAGGTCTACTAGCAGGCATAACTGAGAAAAAAATGGTGACCAAGCGCCCTCTGGTGGCAGTTACAACACAGACAGCACATTGTATCAATAAAAGGGTATCATTACTAATCTGCATTGATCTACTGTGGGTGAGATACAGTAAAGTAGTCAAACAGCTGATACCCGTTCAAAACATACAATGGAATGTTTGAAATGAAAGTAGGGGCATTAGGGTACCTCGTGCATTGTGAGCAGGTAGTTCAGAATACTCTGCAGTTCATCTTCTTTTATGCCATGATCCTGTATTTAAAAGACACAGAAGCATTTTGTGTGGTGAATTATTATTATTTCGTTCAGATTTTATGTATGTTATTGGTTACGCTACTTTACCTTCATTATGAGCTGCTTGACAAACAGGAGCAGAAACGCTCGGAGAGAGTGAATCTCTTTCTGATTGGGTCTCGGTCCATCTGAACACATAAAAAAACAGTAGATACACTCTATGGGTCTGTGAAGTTTTGACTTATCACTGATTACTAATACTTTCTATCAGTTAGAACTAACATTTCAGAACAGTTTCAAAACTCGGTGGAACCAAAAGAAAAAGTGTATCCTATTTAATGTAACTGTAATTTAGTCTAAAGAGATTTAAATGAGACAAACAAAATGCAGTACTACTATGGTAATTACATTAAAAAAACACTGAAAGCCAAAATGTTTGGTTATTGAGGGGATCTTTAGTGCAAACCTACCATGCCCATTTAATCTGGAAAAACTCTGCTAAATACTAAGGCCAAAAGGTTTAAGAACATTCTAAAAATCTAGAAGTTAAAATTATTATTTCAGTCTGGAATAAAATAATTTAAGGAGGAACTAAGACGTCAATTTTTATGCAAAAAGTGAGTTAAGCAGTTCCAGATCCCTCATCCCAAAGCTTATTATTTGCAATTTTAGACAAGCCTATGGGAAAATCTTAATCCTATAGGGATTTTAACAAGGGAACCAGTTTTATATTAGCAGCCGATTGGCCTACAAGGTGACGTCATAGTTCTTCCACTCTATTATAACAATAAACATAAAAAATAGCATTGCATAAATGAATAAATGAAAGAAAAAAAATCATACATACAAACATACATACATAAATGCATGCATACATACATACATACATACATGCATACATACAGTACAAAAATAAAGGGTTGAGCAATTAAACTGAAACGCCTGGTTTTAGCCCACAATTATTCATTATTATGGTATAGGGACTCTTTTTTCAGCCAATGCAGCCCCTTTTTGTCTTGGGAATGACAGACACAAGTCCTGTACATTGGCCAGAGGGATTTTGAGCCATTCTTTTTGCAGAATAGTGACCATGTGTTGAGAAGTTGGTTTAGTCTCTTACCGAGACCCTTGGGTGTGATTCCGCTGCGGTCCAGTGGGTTTACAACCCAGTAGAAATACTTGAGCGTGTGCATGACCTGCAGTACGGTCCCAACTCTGCGGATGGCATTGTAAATGGTGACAGTGCTGATGAACTCTGTGGCCAGGTAGGTGTAGAGAACCAGCTGTACCTGTTGGGGGCAGCAAAACTGTTCAAATCAGCCTTGAGAAGGAACACTTGAGAAAACAAAGAACTGGTAAACTAATAAACTACTCAGCATTCTGTATAAATGTGTAAGAGACCTTCGCAGGGGCATGAATCCAGATGGTAGGGTTGAAGAGGATGTGGTCACACAGCTGTTTCAAGAGCATAACACCAGTAGGAAGGTTGCTAAGGTAACGGGCGAAGGCAAGGACGATGTCCAGCACAGGTCGTGTCACATGTACTTTGGAAGACTGAGAAGAAAACACAAACATCAGAGCAAATATTAATAAAATCGTCAAACAAATGTGTAAAATAAAAACTGAATCAGTGCAGGTTTTTTCAAAGTTTTAAGATTTTGCTGCATCACAGCACAACACAACTTGACATTGGTCTTAGGTTTCTAATGTTCCTAAAAACATTTTGGCTGATTGCCAATGTGTAGAGGACCGACTGACCGAGTGTAAAAATCTCAAGAGAATCCTTTCCTTGTGTTACTCTTAAAGGTGCAGTTATAACTAAATAATGTTATTTGTTGGGGGATTCAAGTACAAAGTCCAAAATCCCAATTGGAACTAAGCATTATTATTATTCTGCCATACATCTTTAAGACTTAGAGACTTAAAACTGGACCAGATGGTAATGTTCCATTTAGGGAGAGACTGGCAAAGAATCAGCCAACAGGGGTGCTATGGAGATTTCTTTTTTTCAATTTTTCAATTCTTCATCTGTTAGTCTGACTGATTAGTAAACTGGCTGAGTAGCAAACTGGCTGACCTGAAATTTATTGTAGTTGTTTATTATATGCCGTTATTAAAAAATATTTGTTGTTGTACTATACACATCTCTGAACTGCCTAAGTCAAAAATTAGATCGGAAGTATGTATTTTAGTAACAAGATCAACCAAAAAGTCACATTATAGTTGTTTTGACTGTTTTTATGGAATTCTACTTCAAGGAAATCACCTTATTTTTTTCATATATCTCACTTTGATTGTATACAGCTACTCAGCTAACATGAAAACGACTAATATTTTCCTAGTTGCTCTGAAAGGCCCGTCCTCAAGTGACTCTGATTGGTCATTGTCATAATCTGCTGCGATTCGTGGATCGGCTCCATGTCACGCCCGCACAAGCACGCGCTTTTCTGTTGTGTAAACAGTCAGTCAACCTCCTGCCTGCTCTCTAAAATAAAATCTTACATGTGTCTGTAACGACTGAAAATGGGGTGCGGCTCCTTTAAGAGAGATCGTCTTTGTGTGTGTCTGTGTGTGTGTGTGTGTGTGTGTGTGAATGTGTGAACTTTCTGTAGATGTGTGTAACAAGCGCATGTGCGCGGGACTTTCTTTTTCTTTTTCTCTGATGCTCGGATTAAGTTATTTTCTGTAATATATTGTGACAGAAGAATAAAGCACAAGAGTTAGTCGAGCTATGCGACTTCATTATCTGAGATGTAAAACGCATGGAAAAGCTGCATTTTCCCATTGTTTACACCGTTGTTACAGCATACCGTTAATGCTAGACACTGTACATGTCATGATCAATTTTAATAAATAAAAACACTTACAGGTTGTAGTTCACAGCTTTTGCTTTGAGGAGATTTTAACCGAATCCAGCACTGAACTGGGAGAGATTCTGGAAGCTGTTTTGTCAAATCATGCTTGCTGTGTATTTTATAATTCTCTGAAACATTATTAATATTGAACTAAAAACTAAAGGAAAACTATAGCACCTCTGTCTTTGTGTCGTGTCCTTTAAAAGCCTATAACATAAGCCTATAAATACAGAAACAGACGAAGCTCTGTGGACACAGCAGCGTTTAGACGCATTTTAGCTCTCTCTGCTATAAAGTTACAGCGCCTCTGGCCACAGCCCTTAGTTGCGCAGTATGTGTGCGCGGTAAAAGTACATTTGTGATCTCACAGGCCCGAAAGTATTTTTTGTAGTCCCCAAAATTTGTTCATTGTAGGCTTTGCTAAGCTAACTCTGTAAAAACCAAAGTGTCCCTTTGCATTGAACTTTGAGCTTTTTACATTCGGAGATGTTGTTTATGTTCACACACCAACATTACACATCAACTAAAGTTTAAAATATGATATCGTAGTGGACCACCCCTTTAAAGTTGGAAGTGTTCCTTTGAGAATACAAAGCAAACAAATCAAAGTTCTAACAAATTAACTCGACTTTGCAACCATTTCATCATTAAACTAAAATGCGGTTAAACAAACATTTAAAGGCTGACAGTTGAATGTAAATTATGTGTTGTATAAGCAGGTTTGCTTGAAAGCCATTGTGTGAAAGCCTCAGGCATACCTCGGGCATGGTTTTTGCATGTTTAGGTTACTGTTTCACAAGGACTTTACATTTCTTTGTTTTATCAATATTTTACATAATTACTTTCAGTAATAATTGTAATTGTGACTGTTTTGACAAACATTGAAATAACCTCATTAACGTTCATGATAGAGAAATCTAAATTTGAAATAAAAAATTGAAATAAAAACATTTACTCTGAACTTCTATTTTCAATTGATCTACAATATTATATACATAAATTAAAGGTTTACCTTGAAGTATAAATATAGATTAACTACAACAGGAAGAAGAAAGCAAGAATATTAATAAACGTTACATTAGTAAGCTGGCCTACTATCAAAAGCAACTGCTGTAGTCATTAAATCTGGTTAAATCATTCCTTTTTGCATTTTGATGTAATGACCTGAGGCCAGATGAGACCTTCAGTGTCAAATAATATTACGGTAGGCTGTAAGAAAGAAAGTGAATGCTTGCAAAGTAAAGGACAGAAATACAAATCTTCTCAAAGCATAAAAGAAACATGAGGTCTATTTCTATTTCCATTTATCTGAAGAGGAGGCAAAGTGTAGGGTTTTTGAGCAATTAAAGTGTTTTTCCTGCTTACAAAACAGATGATCTTGTGACATTCTGTTGGGTTCGCTATTAAGCATACTTAGGAATTGCACTTTTTTTATCCCTTTCAGTGTTACCCAGCAACTCCTTGTTTTAACAAGAACTCCCTAAAACCCATTTTCATATCATAAGCTTGCTTCAAACATTGAAGAAGACCTTGATTGATATACATCTTGTTCTGTGTTCAGTTTTAGCATGACTTAAAACTTTTTAAATCAAGTAAGACTGTAGATCATAAAGCCTTTGGATGTGCATTCATGTTTGAACATTTATTGTGCACAATGAAAAAAAAGTGATATTCCTTTTCATGTTTGGCACTGACCTTCTCCAGAGAGTAACCGATGACCAGAAAGCCCTTGCAGGCCAGCACCTGTTCTTGCATAGCTACAGAGCCCTTCAACAGCTCCATCACAAACGACAGTAGTGTGCAACTGAGGGAGGAATTAAATGTACTACAGGTTAGTGCAAAAATATTAAACACCAAAAAAAAGGGAAAGAAAAATGATTAATACATTACATTGATAACCTGGCTTTCAATATTTTCAAAAGCAACTGCTGTAGTCATTAAATCTGGTTAAATCAATTGTTGTTTGATTATTTTTATCAGACAATTTTAACAAAAATATACAAACAAGTCCAATTAGACTTCAATTCATACATAGTTTAAAAAGTTCAGGATAAAATACACAAAAAGCCACAGGCTTATTTCCATTGTGGGCCTTAATATTCTTAAAACAATGAATGAGCAAATCATAAAAACAGTGTAAACATCATAAACTCAGCAACTCGCCATAACAAGATTGTAACAACTTCAACGATAAAACAACCATTTTTTAATTTTAATTTAATTTAAAACACTCCTAGGCATTACATTTCATGCAACAGAGATAATGCAAAAGCTCTGTAGAACAAATTCTTCTGTAAAACACAAACTTTAAAGAATGTCTAAGTTGATTTTGTTTTTGTTCTCTGTTCGTGTTTTTTTTTTTTTTTTGCATACAGTTAATTAATGACATGACCAGGAACCGTCAAAATCCAAAGCAGTACCTTAAATGACTTATGCAGGCATATGACAGCTTTATATAATGAATACACCGTACCAATTAACCTGAACACATTCTAACTTTGGTTTATGTATGTCTGGTTGTTGATCAAGATTCATCTTTTGTTTTTGGATATTACAAAAAGTTTGGATAAAAAAATTATAATAAATTCACACAGCTCATCAAGGTCATGGACTATTAAAAAATATATGATCAATAAGTCATGACAACAAATGTTTTTATGTTAATCATTATTGGACCTTATAGGTCTTATGTTGGAGGGTTAAAAGATTATGTTCTTTGAATATTATTTTTGTAAATTATTTTGTAAACTATTTAATTGAATCTACTAAAATACCACTTATGATTAGTAATATGCATTGCTAAGAACTTTTTTTTTTAAACTCTCAGAATATAGATTTTCAAATAGTTGTATCTCGGTCAATGTTTCAGGGTCACATTTATTAAACTATGTAAATCATATTTCAACTTAAGTTAAAATGACAAAGTTCAACTTAAATTAAGGCAACCATGTATTTTATTTTTTATGTGGAGAGTAAACAAGCAAATCTAAGCGGATTTTCACTATCTAACGTTGTAATAAGATGAAGCACAAGATATTTAATGAAAAAGGTCGTTTGAAAAGCTAGTTGAACAAGAACATCATTTAAGATTGGCCCAGGTTGATACATTTATACTCCTCCAGGTAACACATTTATTAGTATATGGTTAAAGTTAAATATTTAACTTTGTATTGGCTCTCATTCAATGTCGACACATTAAATACCATTAAATAACAGTGAGCACTGGCCACACATCTTTAATAAGCATGTCATTGTGTCTAACAGGTTTAACAACTTTAAAATGAAAAAAAAAAAAAAAAAAAAAAATCAATAAACTTCTCAGATTCTCCGGGTCAAGCTAAAACTGAGAAGAGCTCAGTCTTTTCCCCCCACTGAGAAACATTTTCATTCAGGCCCTCATGCTAAGCTGATGTGTTCTCACCAGACGGAGGTGTCCAGCTCGTCACCGCTGTGCTGGAGGAAATCCAGCTGTGCAAACAGAGGGAAAAGGACCTGGACTCCTCCTATAGAGTGAATGGCACTCTGAACCGAATGTGTCACCACAGCCTTCACATCCTGAGATATAGAAAGATTTGATGTTAGATTTGCTTCATCAATGATATTTCTATAAATATTCCTCTATAATAATAAAACCCTCCTGTCATTCTGCAACAACTATTTCAGAACGAGAAGGTTATTTCCTAAATCTGAGCTCTACTGACGCATGGTGTGAAGGGGTTGGTGGGTAATTAAGAAGAAGGACAGCTGTGAGGTCCTTCTTAATGTGCTTCTAATCAGACGAGTGCCCTCCCAGATGGCACAAGATGGCATGTTCATAAAATCATTGTCAAAGAGGAACGACTGCATCTGTTTAGCATGTGATGGTGCCATCAGATCTTAAGAAGCTTTTATGAACTGAAAATAATTAAGAATCAATTGAAAATGTCTTTCGTTCATTGCTTTTAACCAATTCGAATGCTTCTCAGACTATTAAGCGTCACTCTTCTAAAGAATAATCTTAGATAAAACCTTATTTACATTAGTCTGCTGGATAACTTTAGTGACATATTTAAACCAAGAGAAGGTAAATCAAAAGTTGAATTAATTATTTGTGGTAATTTTTTCCTTTTTTAATTTTTATTAATATATATATACAAATTATTAGCCCACCTGTGAATAGTATTTTTTCAAATAATTCCCATGTGGTGTTTAGCAGAGCAAAAAAAAAATGGAGTATTCCCTATTATTTTCTTCTGACCTTTCTCTGCACTTGAATTGTAATTTCTTGCATAATAACAAGTACATTATTATGTAGTGACATCATAACAAAAACAAAAGAAACTAGTTATTACAATTATTATGAATAATAGTATTGTATAAAATTAGTTAAAAAGATCTTTGGGGTTATTTGAAAAAGCATTAATATTTCACAGGAGGGCTAATAACTTTATCTTTAATTGTATAGTCATTAAAGGATTATTATTTAAACAGTTTTTTAAAAAGTATTTTTTAATATTATATTTATATATATTTATTTTTAGTTTTTTTTATATTTATATTTTTTATAATTTGGTGCCATTTTAAATTTCCTTTTTTTTTTCAAAACAACATTAACCTTTGACTTGACTTAAACCAGTTAAATTTTGTTTTTTTAAGAAAGTTTTACCCACAATGGATGTCAATGGTTAACAAATTTCAACATTATTCAAAATATTGTGATTGAGTTTGACAAAACAAACAAAAAAGTAAAACTGGTTTGATCAAGTCAAGGGTGAGTAAATGAAAAAGATTTCTCTTTACTCCTAATGTCGCTAGTTACCACACTTAATGCATTTTTTTTCAACACATCCCATCATTTTAAAAATGTCAGCCTCAACCAAATGTGTAATATGTTGGTTTATGGTAAAAGCACTGGAATTTATACACTATGAAATCTCTGATAATGTGAAGTGTTAGACGCATTTATTTTTTTAAAATCAATGATTTTAAATCAAATTTTTTTTTGAAGTATGACATAAAATATTTCAGATTCTCTTTTAACAAGATTTTGCACCAAAAAAAAAAGAAACCAAGGAAACAAGTGTAGTGCAACAGGTTTGTTTGTTTGTTTGTTTGTTTGTTTGTTTGTTTTGTAAACCAACAATGCTGAGTGTGTAAACCATTCGTTAAAACAGTCATTATTTAAATGACTTTAACAGTCATTATTTAAAACAAACAAAACATGGTCAACCATTTGGTAGAGCAGGCTATAAAAGGGTTAAGACATTTTGAAGAATGAAGTTAACCAAACAATTCTTGATTTCCATTGACTTCCACAGTAAGAAAGTAAATTCTATGGAAAGACATTTTTTTTTATTATTGCACTATTCCTGTACCTGAAACCAAAACTCTCTCTTATCTGTCCATAATATTGCACTCAGAAATCAAAGATAGATTTTCTATAAAGAAATTCATTTTTAAAGGCTTTTATTCTCCCTTGGTAACACTGTGTAACAGATTAAATGAAACACAGTTTCCAGCTGATGGAGCACTGGATGCAGCACAGGTGCAGGCTGTGTTATGCTTAGCGAGATGATAAAATGGTCACATTGTTAATTATGTTAACGAATGATGATGAGCTTGTTTCATTCGCCCACCAGACATCAGCCCACCTGGCAGACCTGCTCTCCTCAGGCAGCTGCTTGGAGATGCTGATCCAGGTGTGAAAAAGATCATACCTGCAGCATGAGAGCATGTGGCGAGTGCACAAAGATGGAGGCGTTGTCTTTGGGGGAGGACTCCAGACACAGCTGAGCATCAGTGGCCCGTGGATTATAGGTGAAGGCGATGCAGGCAGACAACTTTCCATCATACAGCAGCATCTTATGATGTTCTGCAAACAGCAGGTCACTTTCGGCCTTGTGCTTAAAAGTGCCCTGGATAATGATAATGAGAGAGAGAAAAAGAGAGAAAGAGACATGATCAAATTCTTGAAAAATTACAACACATTTTATCCGAATATTCCACATTAACACCTGCCAACCCACCAAATGCAGGTAGATTTCACCCATGGCAGGTTAGTCAGACACCGACACTAGCTATTTTGTCTAGTCTAGTTTAAAACAAATATTTAAACTGGCAGTGCTGCCGTGTCACAAAAGATTCATATTTTAATATTTTAAGACCGTTTGTCAATATGTGCACAAATGTAATCTTAGAGTAAAGAAGCAGCACAACTGTCAAGAAAGCAGGTAAATACCAAATGAGAGGATTATCAGGCACACGGTGAGACAGACGATCCTTGCCGATGTGATGTGCACGAGTGCTTAAAAGCTCCTGTGTCCCGTTTCTTGCATTTCTCTTTAAAATAGACTGGAAAAAAGCATTGCTCATGCACGTTAACCGGGTGTGCGTAATTTTCCTTTCATTATATTATTATTAATGTTTTTCACCAGCTTTATTTTGCTTATAGTTATTTTTGTTAATGGCTTAATTATCATCATATAATGGGGGGAGATTCCCCCCATTGTGTAAAGCGCTTTGAGTGCCCAGAAAATAGCTATATAAATGTAAGGAATTATTATTATTATTATTATTATTATCCTTTATGATAACATTGCTTTAACAGGAGATTAACTCTCCCTTTCTATAGTTAACTGGTGATCTGGGACCTTTAGCCTGGACACACTGTCACGGTTGTGGTGGGGAAAAGGAGCGAGGACTCAAGTGCAAAGAAACAATGGGTATTTATTAATAATAAAATAAAAATAAAAAGCAAAACAAAACTACCCCGAGGGGGAAAACATTAACAAAACACACAAACTTGGCTCAACAAGAACAAGGCAAGACTGGAGCAGGAACACGGGGAGTGTAGACAACGAACTCGCAAAGGACTGAAAACATGAGGGGGATTATAAAGCAAAAAAGTAAATTGACACACAGGTGAACACAATTAACTAATAATGGGTTGACAAGGAGGGTGGGACTAGACAATAGACGGGAGAGCGCATGACACAGAGAGACAATACAAGCCATGCGCTCACATAACAACACTGAAGCACACGACAAAAGCACGTGACCACAATGTAAACACCGAGCCACGTGCTTTGACAAAAGATGCAAGACACGAGCACACGATAGATAAACACCTTACCGTGCGCTCACACATAAGCAACGCGCATGCTTCATCTCAGCGCCAACCAAAACTGAAACCAACTAGACGGAGGCGCCGAGAATAAAGCAGCGCGCTGCTGACAGAACAAACACAAACACTAGTACAAGAGCGCGCGCGTCTGAGGGACGCAGAGCGCGCGCGGCCACATCATGTGGCAGCGCGCACACTCTGCGTACACCCACGACGGCGCGCGCGCACACAGAGACAGAAACAGGACCAGACATTGAGTAGTGTCAGAGCTCTGCCACCAAAACAAGAATTTACAAGACCAAAGTGGCAGAACCCTGACACTAGCCCCCCCCCAAAAGGGACGCCACCTGGCGTCCCTAAAGGGAACATCCAACAAGGTACAAGACAGACAAGAAACACTACAAGACAACAAAACAGGCAACATCAACAGACACAAGACAGGGAGGTGAACAGGCAAGACGACATGAAGGGAGGGAGGGAGGGAAGCCAAGCCAGACCGAACAAGACAAACAAGGGAGGGATGGGAGGGCAAGACCAGGGAGGATCAGGAGGGACAGTCCAGGGTGGATTCAGTGGGTCGGGGGCCCCAGCAGGGAGCCAGGGTGGAGCCGGAGGGTCAGTCCAGGGTGGAGAGGAGGAACACCAGGGAGGAGCAGGAGGGACGACCCAGGGAGGGTCTATGAGGGGAAACAAGGCTGGAGGCCTGTGGGGAGCCGGCTGGGCTGGAGGCCTGTGGGGAGCCGGCTGGGCTGGAGACCAGAGGGGAGCCGGCAGGGCAGGAGACCAGAGGGGAGCCGGCAGGGCAGGAGACCAGAGGGGAGCCGGCAGGGCAGGAGACCAGAGGGGAGCCGGCAGGGCAGGAGACCAGAGGGGAGCCGGCAGGGCAAGGCGCCGGGCTGGGACCGGCAGGACGAGACGTCTGGATGGGGCCGGCAGGGCAGGGTGCCGAGCTGGGGCTAGCTGGGCGAGACGTCTGAGTGGCGCCGGCAGGGCGAGACGTCTGGGTGGCGCCGGCAGGGCGAGACGTCTGGGTGGCGCCGGCAGGGCGAGACGTCTGGGTGGCGCCGGCAGAGCAAGGAGCCGGGCTGGGGCCGGCTGGGCGAGACGTCTGAGTGGCGCCGGCAGGGCGAGACGTCTGGGTGGCGCCGGCAGGGCAAGGAGCCGGGCTGGGGCCGGCTGGGCAAGGCGTCTGGGTGGCGCCGGCAGGGCAAGGAGCCGGGCTGGTGCCGGCAGGGCTAGTCGTCTGGGTGGTGCCGGCAGGGAAAGACGTCTGGGTGGTGCCGGCAGGGCAAGGAGCCGGGCTGAAGCCGGCAGGGCAAGACGTCTGGATGGCGCCGGCAGGGCAAGGAGCCGGACTGGGACCGGCACTGAGCTGCGCTCTGGGGCTGGCACTGGAGGGCGCTCTGGGGCTGGAGCCGACACTGGAGGGCGCTCTGGGGCTGGAGCCGACACTGGAGGGCGCTCTGGGGCTGGAGCCGACACTGGAGGGCGCTCTGGGGCTGGAGCCGACACTGGAGGGCGCTCTGGGGCTGGAGCCGACACTGGAGGGCGCTCTGGGGCTGGAGCCGACACTGGAGGGCGCTCTGGGGCTGGAGCCGACACTGGAGGGCGCTCTGGGGCTGGAGCCGACACTGGAGGGCGCTCTGGGGCTGGAGCCGACACTGGAGGGCATTCTGGGGCTGGAGCCGACACTGGAGGGCGCTCTGGGGCTGGAGCCGACACTGGAGGGCGCTCTGGGGCTGGAGCCAACACTGGAGGGCGCTCTGGGGCTGGAGCCGACACTGGAGGGCGCTCTGGGGCTGGAGCCGACACTGGAGGGCGCTCTGGGGCTGGAGCCGACACTGGAGGGCGCTCTGGGGCTGGAGCCGACACTGGAGGGCGCTCAGGGGCTGGAGCCGACACTGGAGGGCGCTCAGGGGCTGGAGCCGACACTGGAGGGCGCTCAGGGGCTGGAGCCGACACTGGAGGGCGCTCAGGGGCTGGAGCCAATGTGGTGGAGGAGCCCTTTCTCCTCCGACGCTTCCTTGGTCTGGGTGGCGGGAAGCTGGCCACCTCTTCAGACACTGCAGTATACTCCACTGCCTGCAGGACTGGTGCAGTGTCTGTTGCGGGTGCCTCAGTAAGTGATGCTGCAGCCAGGATGGTAACTGAAAGGGCTGCAGCAGGTTCGGTCACCTCTGGGTGGGCGACAGGTAAGGCAGACCCGGTCTTCCTCCTCCTTCGCCGTTTCTGGGTCATTGGAGGACTGGGGCCCCCACTGACTGCAGATGGATATGTCAAGCAGTCAGTGGGCTGGCGCTTTGTGCGGAGTTGGTGGAGCTTAAACACAAAGCGCCAAAATGGCAGGTACTCCAGCCTCTCCATCTCCACAGGGCTGAGGGGCTCCGTTAGGCAGATGTTAAATGCCTCCTTGAGGTCCAGGTTATCCTCATACTCAAGGCCATCCACTACAGCAAGGAAGTCGTGGGCGAAATTTCTGATGTCCACCTCTCCCTGCTGCAGGGAGATTTCCTGGACAACCTGAAGCAGCTGGTGTTTGACAGAGCCCCCAAGAAAAGGAGATGGAAAGAGGAAGCTACCCATTTTTCTGCTGAGTCCTCTTTATGGCGAGTTCGTACTGTCACGGTTGTGGTGGGGAAAAGGAGCGAGGACTCAAGTGCAAAGAAACAATGGGTATTTATTAATAATAAAATAAAAATAAAAAGCAAAACAAAACTACCCCGAGGGGGAAAACATTAACAAAACACACAAACTTGGCTCAACAAGAACAAGGCAAGACTGGAGCAGGAACACGGGGAGTGTAGACAACGAACTCGCAAAGGACTGAAAACATGAGGGGGATTATAAAGCAAAAAAGTAAATTGACACACAGGTGAACACAATTAACTAATAATGGGTTGACAAGGAGGGTGGGACTAGACAATAGACGGGAGAGCGCATGACACAGAGAGACAATACAAGCCATGCGCTCACATAACAACACTGAAGCACACGACAAAAGCACGTGACCACAATGTAAACACCGAGCCACGTGCTTTGACAAAAGACGCAAGACACGAGCACACGATAGATAAACACCTTACCGTGCGCTCACACATAAGCAACGCGCATGCTTCATCTCAGCGCCAACCAAAACTGAAACCAACTAGACGGAGGCGCCGAGAATAAAGCAGCGCGCTGCTAACAGAACAAACACAAACACTAGTACAAGAGCGCGCGCGTCTGAGGGACGCAGAGCGCGCGCGGCCACATCATGTGGCAGCGCGCACACTCTGCGTACACCCACGACGGCGCGCGCGCACACAGAGACAGAAACAGGACCAGACATTGAGTAGTGTCAGAGCTCTGCCACCAAAACAAGAATTTACAAGACCAAAGTGGCAGAACCCTGACACACACTACTGTGTATAGTTTTATATACATGATAATACTTTTTTAATTGTCAACTGTTTTCATACACCATTTTTTGATGAATAAAAAGTTATATTTTGCTTGTTTTGAGGCATTATTTAAAATTTGTTGCAAGAAAAATAATTAGGATTGGTGTGGCCAGAGTTTGGTAAATCCTTAGTATCGAGCCCTGAAAAGTCATCCAACCTAAAACTATAAGCCATTTGCTCATGCTCACTGAGCAAGATCACAACGCACACAAAAAAAAAATTTAAATTCACGAGGAGGCATGTGGACATAAAACAAAATTTAAATCAAATAACTTCAGCATGTCAAAGTCAAAAATATGTATTTATTCCCAACAACAGAAATGTAGCTAGTGAAAATGCCGAGTCGCTAGTAACATTGAAAATCTACTAGACACAGTGGCTGGTGATCAAAAATTAATGTTAAACCCTGATTAGCCAGTAAAAAACTAATAATATTAATGATAAAGTAATGCATTTTATTTAAAGGCACCTTTCTCGAAACTATAGGTCACCGACCATACATCACAGCAAGGTCAGCCAGTTCAGATTAAAAATAAATAAATAAATAAAATTTAAACTGTCAGCCAGTGGACAAACCTAAAGCAAGATCAGTTGTTATACGGTTGTACAATACTGTTATTACTACTATTTTTATTTATTAGTTTTATTTATTTGTATTTTTATTTGCATGTCTTATATGCTTTTTTTGTTTTATTGTTATTGACAACTTTACTTATTTATTTACTTTGTATATTATATACATGTACCTGCTTTACTTATTTTACAGATGTATTCTTTTTTTACTTTTTATGTATTGCCTTGGCAATACTGTTCAAGTCATGCCAATAAAGCTCATTTGAATTAGAGAGAGCGAGAGAGAGAGACCTTTGATTACAGTTTTCAGAGCAATTATTTAAAATTTAACACTTTCATTCCATAAATTAATCACATAAACAAGAAATCAAGTTCAAGTGGCTTTATTGGCACGAGATTTTGTAAAGTTGCTAATCATTTTAAATATGAATTGAATATGTAATATATGTATATCATAAACAGTAAATGAGAACAAATGGCAGAGGAAAAAACAATATCTATATAAAAAAATTATAATAATTACAAGTATGAAAAGTGTAGCTGTTTTAACTGAGGCAAATGACTTTGGATTAACCTTTTCTTCTTACGGTGTGGACAGCGAACGCATCTTTTACAGCTTATTTAACTGCATTTTTGTCCTCTCCAAGTATACGTTTTTCTGAGTCGTTTAAATTAAATTACATTACATCATATATACCTAAACATTACCTCACATGAAATTTCATTCAAAACCAAAGTACTTTAAATGTTTCCAATTTGTCTGTTAATTCATGATATGCAATTTCAACAACTAGAGGAGAGACAGAGAGAAACAGAGAAGCAGAGATGCTCCTCATTCTCTAGTGTGTGTTAAAGGCATGAAATTAAATCTGATTCATCAGAGCACTTGATAAAAGCACAAGTGTTTAAGTGCATCAGACAGACTAAAAGATGATGTGAAAGATAAAACTGCTGATGGGTGCCAGTTAATTATGATATCAGTGATATGAAGAACAGAAAGAGAGAACAAATACTTGGTTCAACTGATATTTAGTATTCAATTCCTCAACCAATAAAGTACATGTATGTGACTCTCAATATCAATTCTATGGGAACAGGTAAATAAAATACTGCTTAATCCACTATATAAAAACTGCAGACTTAACTTGAATTATTACTTGTAGCTATTTTACTGCATTTAAACAAAACATAAAATAATATAATTAAATTAGTGCTGTATTAAAAAAAAGACAAAATCAGCAGAAGATCCATTTGGATGCATGTAGAGAATGTGTAGCAATATCTGTAAATATCTGTTATTGGACTCTATTTAAAGTTCTGTGACTCATAACTTATAGGATTATGATCAAGAACATGTTTAGCATTCATAATGAACAGTATATTGTGAGAGAAATGGGTCATACCTTGTATCCTGGCCCCAGCTGATAGATGGCTAATATCTGAGCAGCGCTGAGAGCTTCACTGAACAGATACACTGCCCCCATCTGACCGCAGAACACACGGTTAGCATCTGCTGTCTCTGATGAACCCAGAAAACACTTGTCGAACGTCTGTGAAGAACAACAGGAAACAAAGTTTGCTTAGGTTTTTTTTTGTTTGTTTCTTTTGGTTATTGTCTGGATGTTTATAAAAATTGTAAAGGTATAATGCCATTTAAATACTCAGAGTCAGTAAACATTCATTTGTGTGTCAAAAAAGGTTGCATTAAAATTAACAAAAAATTACCACACAGCAATTATTATTCTGATTGCAAGTTAAAACAACTACATTACATTTTAAACTATTTTAAAATGTATTTAAAATACATTAATCTGACACATCCAAATTGTCAGCAGATATTACTTTTTCTCCTAAAGACTCTTATAATGAATAGAAGTTTTCAGGGTGCTTTCACACTTGGTTCAATTGCCTGGTCCGAACTCAAGTTCGATTTTCCCCCCTTGTCACCTTCTCTGCCAGTTTGTGTTCACACTGTCTTTTTTTCCTTCTGAACCTTCCTTCTACTTCTGTTACATTATTAATAATAACATATAATTAAAAGTTTTAAAATTTAAATTAAGAAAATGTGTTTTTTTAATAACTGGTAGCCCTTCACACTAATCGGTACCCAAGAAGTAGCTCTCAGTTTCCAAAAGGTTGGTGACCCCTGGTATAGACATACAACAAATAATACATTACTGTATGCAATACATCAACATCTCTAAAACATGCAGGGTTGTTTTAAAACAACCCAGCAAGTGTAATATTACAATGTCCTTAGTTTGCAGAATAGCTAATGAATGTCCTTTTACTGAATAAGCACTGTTGTTAGTAGCATGTGAATCTTTGCATGGAAATAGATTCAAGCATACAACATGAAATGTCAGCGCTACACTGTGCTACTTCCGATAGATCGGATTATTATGTCTTTCATTTTCTTTATCATTCCCTTAAAACTTGTTTTAACACATTTTAATCTGTTTTAATAATTTTTAGCTCTTTGTTGTTTTTATTTTCTTGTTTCTTTTATTCCTGTTTATGTAAAGCAGACTTTATCAGACTATTTTGATAGTCTGTTTGTTGAATTTAAGCTACATTTACATGTCAACTCATTCTCATTGGATTCTAAGTAGTTAGGTTGGGATTAGTGTAAGTTGGCATGTACTTGCAAAGTTTCTTAAAGTCAGTTAAAATGTCTGTTGAAGGAGCATATCAACAGATATTAAGCAGACAGTTTACTGATAATCAAAAAGACCATCAAAATAAACTGTTACCGAACTTTGAATTAGCATTGTGTGTACCACTACCATTACCTTGCCTAATTAATAACAGTTATTTTACACAAATGCTAATATTCCCATGTCAGAAGAGCAATATTCATACAAAAACATATAATACAAGAGCAATACTTTTCAGATTTAGGACCTCACAGTAGCCCCTTTCACACATACAGACCTTTCTGGAAAATTACAGTCACTTTTCCGGAAAAGGATCATGTGTGAACAGGCTCTTTTTGAAAATACTGGTAAATTCGTTCCGGCAATTTTCCAGAGAGAGAAGTTGTAACAAAACAGGTAATTTGCCAGAATGCTGCATTGTGAATGCAGAAGAAAAATAGCCTGAAAGAGCGCGTTCACATCTAGAACGCACTGAGTTGCGACATCTATTCCAGCCAATCAGAACATTTAGACTCTTTCACATCCGTGCTGTTTATGAAAATAAAGCATTTGGCTGTTAGATGTTTATCAGATCACGTTTATATGTTTTTTTAATGCCAACTGTGTAAAAATTATCGTGCTTATGATAAAGCACTGTTCGTTTACCTTTAAGCGCTGATTTTGTTTCTTGACGAAAGTTTTCCTACATATGTTTTCATATAAGTTGTTCACAATATTGATCCATCCACAGAATTTGTAACATAGTCAAATGTGTAAACATTTAGCTGCAGTTCGCACTTCTACCACGCTTCTTTTTTTCTCTGAGACAAAAGCAGAAGCTTTAAATAAAAGTGAAACCATCAACAAATGCTTCTGTTTAAACAAAACAAACAAAAACAGCTTCTATGTTTAAAAATACAAGTTCAGAAAATTAAAGCTCATTTCAGGTTCATGACATCAGGATTTACCAGAAATTTGGAATGGATATGTAAACGTTCTTTTCCGGAAAAAATCCAGAACGTTCTTGCCTGTGTGAAACAATCATTTTTTAATTTACCGGTAAAGTCGTTCAAGTAATTTTCCAGATACTTAGCGGTATCGCTGTGTGAAAGGGGCTAGTGTTTAAAAAGAACAGCACATGGTTAAATGATCACATTTAATGTCATCAAATGTTTTTTTTTAACTGCATTGATGTTGCTCAGCTGTCAAAGCAAGTTGAAAACAAAGTGAACTTTTAAGTTTAACAACTGAAACCTGCTTCGCTTCATCTTTTAAAGTTCGTGGGTATTTTGGATTTTGTACCTGGCAAAATATTGACAAGCTTTGAAGTGAAACACTACTGGAGAAGAAAGCAGGGCCCCAAGCTTTTTTTCTGCTGTTAAAAGCCAGTAGAATGAGAGATAACAGAGAGCACTTACATCACTTGTGTTGACGAACCAGGTGATTTCGCCATATGACGCCAGCTCTCCGTTGACATAGCAGCTGATTTCACTGTTCTTCCAACGATTATAAATGTGCACTATGGTCACCATATACCACTGTGGTGGAAAACAATTAGAACGGACAGCATGTATATCATATATAATATCAGTATATTAGGTAATAAAATTTTGCATTGTCACTGTACTTTGCTTTTTTTTAAAATGGAGGAAAGCCATATTTGATATTGCAGATTTATTTAGAAATATATACTTATGTAGTCCCTTTACCTTAGTTTGAATACCTTTGGTTGACAGAAATAAGCAATTATATAACTTGTGTGTTTAACTTTGCTACAGATACAAGACAGTGGTCCATTTCTACCCTCCAGTAATGGTCTCACCCAGATCTTTTTAAATCTCCATCAAGTGGTGAGAAAAGGTGCTTATCCCTGAGGCACGACATCTCCAGGGGGAATGAAATGGATTCTAAATATAGGCCAAATACAACCTACATAAGCTTTTTTTAGAGTACTTGTGGATTTCTTTATATATTAAATATGAATTTCAGTATAATTAGCCCTATAAGTACAACACTTCCTGATAATCCCGGAAAGGCCTGTCCATTGATGCAAATAAATACATACAATTGAAGTCAAAGTGATCAGCCTCCCTACGATATTTCTTTTCTTTTTTAAACATTTCCTGATTTTTAACAGAGCAAGAAACTGTTCACAGTATTTCCTATAACATTTTTTCTTCTTAAAGTTTTATTTGCTTCATTTCAGCTACAATAAAAGCAGTTTTTTTTAACCATTTTAAGGTCAATATTATCAGCCCCCTTAAGCAATATTTTTTTTCGATTGCCTACAAATCAAACCACTGTTATACAATAAGTTGATATTTCACCTAACTTGTCTAATTAGCATAATTAACCTACATATTAAAATGCACTTTATGCTAAATACTAATATCTTGAAACATATCTTGTAAGATAGCATGTACTGTCACCATGGCAAAGATAACAGAAATCAGTTATTAGAAATTACAGAAGCTATTCAAACTATTATGTTAAGAAATGTGTTAAAAAAATGTTCTTTCAGTTAAACAGAAATTGAGGAAAAAAATATACAGGGGGGCTAATAATTCAGGAGGGCTAATAATTCTGACTTCAATTGTAAATTTCAAATGTACTGTATCCGTGTGCATTTGTGAATAGGTGAAAGACTGCATGTCTCATTGGATCATCCTTCACTGTGATTGCCCAGTTTTAGTCTTAAGGTGTAAACTGAGGACGCTTGTCCATTCAAGGGGTCATGTGGGATCCGAGCAGGAAAAAGGATCTGCTTTCTTCTTGCAAATGCTCAGACATGACACAGACCCTCCTTCTTTTATGTCAATTTTGCTATCTTTTAAACTGTATAGATAGAGATGAAAATTTAGCAAAAGTACATGAAAAGAGTACAGGGTAAGCAGATAAAAAGTGACTCATACCTTCTGGGGTTTGAAGTCATATTTCACACAGTGCTGGAAGCCTTTGGCTTTGGATTTTAGAGAGGTCACTATCAGACATCCACCCACAAAGTGTGCAGAGTAGCCCAAACCTTTGTTGGTGCGGAAGCTGGAGATGAGAGAAAATGCAGACCTCAATTAAATACAGGTTCAATTTCAAATAAAGGGTGCTCAAACTTGCACAGCTCTACTCGAAAAAGAAAGAGTAGCTGCAGATTTAACCCTTAAATGTATTAATTTTTAAAATGTCAGTTTTTAATTGTTAAACTGCAAAATAGTATGAACATATCACATTAAATATTGTAATCAACTACCTAAACCTGAGTTTAAAATAGTTTAATGTTATCATATCAGTTTTTGTGGTGTGATAACTAAAGACAGACATTTACATTACTATGTAGTACAGTATGTGCCTATGCTGTATAATCATTCTTGAGATCCTTGTTACTCTATTACTCAAAATATAAACTACTATATGAAAGAATGCCTGTACTGTCAGCTTAGTAGCTCAGAAGATTCCTACAGACATCCTACAGTTATTTCCGCAGGGTCAATTATCATTTGGCGAGTCAAAATAGCTCCATTTGCATAAATTACATTTTTGACAGAATTAATTATAAGCTGAATATAGGACAAGGCTGTGAAATGCTGCCCTTGAGAAGCATAGATGGAAAAAGTGGAAAACAGTCATCCTTCTTAGCATTCTTACTGACCAACTATCAACACTTTTTTTTAAAAGCTGACAATCAACATAGAGTACCTGTCAAACAAGAAACGCTCAGCTAATCTTTCTCTATGTGTCTGGTTCTCAGATACAAGCCTCTTCAGTAAAGGTGTTTTATTTGACATCATTGGACTGTGTGATCAGTGTTTATGCGTGACCCACCAGTAGAGATAAGGCTTGTCCTTGTCAACGTTTATGTTATTGATGGGGTCCAGACGCAGCCAGGTGTGGAAGGTGAAGCCATTCTGGTATGGCCACTTTGCAATAGGAGGAAGAGCAATGGCCTGAAGGTGTATAAACAAACGAGAGAGAAAAATAAGTTGTAATAAGTTATTTTCTGTCATTCTGTTTTAGATAAATAATATACGATAGAATTAAGATGATCATGCGAAAATGACAATTTTGGTTTTCGATTTCCAAAAATTTGCTGCAGATCAAGAGTGCAAAGGGAAAACCTCCACAAAATTTGAAAAACATGAGTGGGTAAAGCTATGACGTACAACATTGTTGACTCATTCATCGTCAATAAAAGATTGCTTTGACTTGATTTTTAATCCAGTATAATTTAAGTTATTGAGTTAAAGTCATACAAAATAACTTTATATTATTTAAGAAAAAATAATCAATTATTACACAGAATTTTCAGTTTGACCCAGAATCTTCATTTCAGTGCATCCATAATAAATAGCGTAGCCTAAAGAATTTAGCATTTGAGCAGGATAAACGAGGAAAACAATGTCCTTGGCGAGAGTCCACAACAGTTGAAAACATCCTGTCATGTTTGTGGGTTATGGATAAAACAGCAATCAGTGTTATTTTCTTCTAGCATCCTCTCTCTGCTTTAATAAGATCTTAGCAACATCCAATCTAAGTACATCCTGAGAAAACAAAAATTTTGGTGAACTTTCAACTGGACACTGACAACACAGAAAGAGTTCCATAAACACGCCCTTTAAAAAAAATCCAAATGCTTTTATCATGCCCTTGAAGGGTTCTTTGGGAAAAGGATGCCATATGTAGGGACACAGTAAGAATGTAAAGTATGAGAAAGAAATACTGCTTTTTTGATGGGCCCATCAAGAAGTCCATTAAAGAAAGGAAACATTTATTTGTTTGTGCCATTCATAAAGAGTAGCACATTGGGATGTTCATTGGGATTCACCCATAATAAAAGCCACCAAGCTGACATGATGGTAAGTGATTTTAAACCAAAACATGCAAAAACACGCAAAAGCGGTGTCTCATTTCAGAGGCTGCATCCTCTGAAGGATGCAGACATCAAAGGTGAGTCCTTCGAAGTCCAAACAGGCTGAACCGAGTGTTTTGAAATAAGATGATCTAGAGAATGGATCTCATCACCAGGCAACAGTAACAGCCGCTGTTAATAAGCACTAATAACAAATGTAATGACTTTTTTCAAAGTGACTTACAATAAAACGTATTTTAAACTATCTAAAGGCAAAACAAAGTATACAAAAGCTGGAAATATATTTCCTTTTATCCACACATGTACACATAAAAAGGAAAACTGTCTATAAAATCCCTCTTTAGTAAGACCTGTCATACTTATTTGTTCTTTAACACGAGTTTAGATATCCAAGTAAAAGAAACTTAATTTAAACCAGAGTTTTATTTTAAAAGCGCCCTGCTGTCATCAGCACACAATGAATCTTGGGATGTCGAGGCTGTGAAGGATTCACTGGTTGTATCCTTCATTACCTGGGAAACGAAGGACGCATTTGGAGGCTGCATTTGAAGGAGCCTTCGAATGTTTTTGAAATGAGACAGCCTTTGTCGCAGCGCGATAACGCAGCGCACTTCGAATGCATCCTTCGAAGGATGCAGCCTCTGAAATGAGACACAGCTAAGAGAAAGGCAGTACAAATGAAATCAAAACTAACCATATGATTTTGTTAGCTCACATTGCTAGTTTTATGGTTTATCTGTGTATATCATTAAGATAAAAATTTGTTTGTCCTTGTAATCATTAATTGAAATCTAAATTTGCACTTTGTTTTTGCTTTTTTTTTTCAGTTAAATTGCCAAATTATGCATGTCTTAGGTATTGGGTGTGGTTAACACACTAATCCGTGCCCCTCCAACTGTCAGTTTTGACAACAAACAGAAATCTGAGGACATTTACGTTAGGCTGTAAGAACTCTTCTGAAATCATTTTCCTGAATGAAATGCCTACTTTACTACATCCATTGAGCTTGCAGTAGAAAAAGCAAGCCACGCACACTGTATATTATTCCGTTTCTGCGTCACAATACAAAAAAAAAAAAAAAAAAAAACGCTTCCAGTTTATGAACTAATGATAAAAACTCAAAGACGTCAAATTGTACCTGCCGGTACAGACATCTAGTCTCTACGCTGGAATTTACACAAGAATATACATGGCTGTGAGGTAGCTTAAAATTTATTTTCAAACAGTAAGAACGAATTTGCTCGAAATAATGTAAAAACAACCAATTTTCACTTTTTTGTGAAATATGTGTGTCCCAATGGTGTTTTTAGCAACGACATATAATGTATATGATATATATATCAAATATCTGTCAACATCTATGGCAAAATTTAATATTAGAAAATTATAGAAGCTACTGTCATCCTCAGTATACAAAAAAACTCAAATGCACATCAGTGTCTGCAATAAAACAGATAGGATGTCAACAAATATATCCTAAACATTTAGCCGTTTCTTATTTTTAAAAGACTACAAAGTGTTTTAATTTAAACTAAAAATAAAAGTTTCATTTACTCTGAATTCCATTGCAAAAAGAAGTTCAGCATTCAGTGAATTGTTCAGCTACTCTAAATCAAAAAACTTTATCATCTTTGCTCCAGAAAGTAGTTAAAGTTTCCTGGGGATGTTATTCATTTCGGTAAACTTCTATCTATCACATGACTAAAGGAATGTCTGGGTAATTAAGTGAAAGATTGGGAGAAGATATACTGAAGCCGCAAACCACTCTGTTAAGTGTTCTCTTAAAAAGAAAGGGAAATTGTAGAACATTAATCAAAAAGTGCACAGCATAATAAGGTTATTATAGAGAGGAAGTTAAACAACTTAGCAGAGGACAAGGAATTCTGGCATGTATAGTTCAAATCACTATGGGGAACACAAAAGTTCCCTTTGCTGAAAAACAACAATAAATATGTTCACAGTTTACAGAGACTTAAAGCCAGCGCAGTCAGACTGATGTTTGGGTCAGGGTCTTACCGCAGCACTCTTCCCTGGGAAGCTGAAAAAGGAATCTGGGCCATTTCTTTGAGCCATGGACTTCAACACAGACAGCAGCTTGACAGCGTGAGGTGGCTAATAGATAGAGAGAGGGAGAAAAAAAGCTGTTTTTAGACACCTTGAACAAAGAAAAAAAGAAAAATGGCACAGATAGTCGCAAGAATAAATGCTTGTTATAGCTTGATGTTTCAGTATTGTCCTGTAAACATACAACACATAAAAGATACTTCAACTGTATTCAGGTAACATAGGCACAAATCATTTAGCTTAAATTCTACTCATGGTGTGTCAAATAAAATTTGATTTCTGAATTTACTGAGCTAAACACATTTCCTAACAAAAGACATGGTTTCCGCTACATTCGTTTTTTATGGCAGGGCGCCTCACCAAAATTCATTCCCGCCACGGCTTCAATACAGCTTCATTCAAAACATTCAGGGTTTTTTTTTTTTTTTGATAGCAGGTTTTAATGGCACCAAAACACATTAAAAGGTATGTGAATTATAACAGAGCAAACCTTTCTGTAATTGTAGTAGTGCTGTGAGTTATTTGTTTAACCCTTGAAGGTGACATACTGACTCGCTGACAGGTGTGTGATACACGAGACCGACAAACAAGACGTAGCTTTCAGTTATGATGAACACAGTTTCCATAATTATACTTTATTTATAGATAAAGGTCTGTGGTTCTGCATACAATGACTTTATCTTGCTGGAGTGTATAGCCGTTTCACTTTACTTCAGGATGCATCAATATCGTTCTATAGGTCTACTGAAGACAATCATAAATATTCCCAGAAAATCCAGTGCCTAGAAATATGCCGTGTTTTGATTGTTTCCATGAACTTGTGTTTACATGTTTCTTTTTTCGGGACTTGTAAAAGTGTTTTGCGTCTTGTTAATTTTTTTCTAAAATTTTAATTTGTTTCGTCCTTGGTAAAATTGTTTTTCCTATGTAATTGTGTCTGATGACAGGTAAAAATGTTTTTCATAATGTAAATTTGTCTCGAGCTTTGTAAAAGTGTTTCACACTTTGTAATGTTGTTTTGCACTTCCCATCCACCGTACTTTATCTAAACTATACACTGTTATCCCAGTGCTTCTGTGTTATTTGACTGTTTGTAACTTCATAACTAACTCAAAAGCCTAAAAACTAAATCTCTTTCTTGATTTTTGTGTTTTTCAAACACAGAATGCAGTTGTTCGAAGGATTAATAAACGTATGCAAATCACTATCATTTATAATTTGTTACGTGGCTGTTGAGATCCTGATCTTTTAATGATTAATCGTGCAGCTTACACTGAATGCATAAATGCAAGCTAAAAAAGTAATGACTGAAAACACCCTAGAAACCCTCCACATCCCGAATAACCTGTCACGACTTCTTCCGTCATCATTATATTTTACAGGTAAGGCTAAACACTTTCATACATGTGATTAGAATGACGCGAGGGCAATCTCTCGGCGATAGTAACAAATTTAGGATTTGTCTACAAGTAAAATTTTATTCATTTGCGGGTCACGTGTGTTCCGAACCATGGGTTGTGATCCATATGAATCACAGATCAACCATAATTCATTACAGCCCTACTAATGTCTAATGACAATCTTATTTAGCTCGTTTGTCTTTTCTATGATGACAGTATATACTATTTATCTAGTTATTTTACAAGTTATTAATATTTAGCTTATGGAGTTAGTTAGTTCAAAAATAAAAATTACGTTATTAATAAAAGTCTCAGGGACTAGAAAAAACAGAAGCATGAGTTTTTGGTTGAACTAACACTGGAAAGTGCTATTTAAAGGTTTAACTATTTGGCAAAACAATGAAAATAAATCACAAATAAAGAAATAAAACTTTTTTCAGGAGAAAAGTTTATATGAAATCCTGTGACAAATTCTCATGCTCTGTTAAACATCAATTTTACAGTAGGGCTAATAATTTTGTCTTCAACTGTATTTGCTGCTCTAATAATGTGTACATCAGACAAGAAAGTTGCTTAAAAAAAAGCTCCTGCCTTTAGGTTACGAGATACAGACTCATGGATGTGTGAACTCCTATTCCTCCTGAGGTGTTCATTGCATGCTCTGATCAACAACACTGCCTCAGAAAAACAAGATAATCTGTCAAACGTCTTTGTACTGTTTCAACATCTGCCTCACCTAAGGACTAAAGTCTGAAGAAACTCTTAGAATAAAAAAAGAAACATTAAATAAAATGTAGTGCAATGTTTCTTATATACATTGGATCAGTAAAGTATTCATAGCACTTCACTTTTTCCACATTTTTTGTTACAGCCTTATTCCAAAATTGATTAAATTCATTTATTTCCTCAAAATTCTACACACAATACCCCATAATAACATTGTAAAAAAAAAAGATTTTTTGAAATTGTTTAAATTTCTTTAAAAAAAATTCTGAAAAATCACATGTACAGAAGTATTCACAGCTATGCTCAATACTTTGTTGATGCACCTTTGGCAGCAATTACAGCCTCAAGTCTTTATGAACCTGTCTTTGGGAATTTTTGCCCATTGCAGTGCCTCTCAAGCTCTATCAGGTTGGATGGGAAGTGACGGTGAACAGCCATTTTCAGATCTCTCCAAAGATGTTCAATAGGATTTAGTACTGGGCTCTGGCTGGGCCACTCAAGGACATTCACTGAGTTATTGTAAAGCCACTCCATTGATATTTTGGCGGTGTGCTTTGGGTCATTGTCTTGCTGGAAGAACCATCGCCCCAGTCTAAGATCAAGAGCACTCTGAAGCAGGTTTTTAATCAGGATGTTTCTGTACATTGCTACATTCATCTTGCTCTCTATCCTGACTAGTCTTCCAGTTCCTGCAGCTGAAAAACATCCCCACAGCATGATGCTGCCACCACCATGATTCACTGTAGGGATGGTATTAGCCTGGTGATGAGCAGTGCCAGGTTTTCTAAAATGCAACGCCTGGCATTCACTCCTAAGAGTTAAATTGTAGTCTCATCAGATCAGAGAATTTTGTTTCTTATGGTATGAGAGTCCTTCAGATGCCTTTTGGCAAATTCCAGGTGGGAAGTGGCTTCTCTCTGGCCACTCTATCATACAGGCAGACAGAGTGACCATCAGGTTATTGATCACCCCCCTGACTAAGGCACTTCTCCCTCGATCACTCAGTTAAGATGGCCAGCCAGCTTTAGGAAGAGACTTGGTGGTTCTAAACTTATTCCACTTATGGCCAGTGTGCTTATTGGAGCTTTCAGAGCAGCAGAACCTTTTCTGTATTCTTCCCCATTCTTGTGCCTCGAGACAATTCTGCCTCGGAGGTCTACAGGCAATTCCTTTGTCTTCATGCTTGGTTTGTGCTTTGACATGCACTGTCAACCCTGGGACCTTATACAGACAGGTGTACGCCTTTTTAAATCATGTCGAATCAACTGAATTTAACTCCAATTAAGCTGCTGAAACATCAAGAATGATGAGAGGAAACAGAATGTATCTGAGCTCAATTTAGAGCTTCACGGCAAAGGCTGTAAATACTTATGTACATGTGATTTTTTAGGTTTTTGTTTTTAATACATTTTCAACAATTTCAAAGAAAACTTTTTTCACATTGTCATTATGGGGTATTGTGTGTAGAATTTTGAGGAAATAAACTAAATTAATTCATTTAGGAATAAGGCTGTAACAGGAAAATGTGAAAAAAGGGAATCGCTATGAATACTTTCCGGATGCACTGTATAAAATGCTCAAAAAGTGTTTTATTCAGAGCATGCAATGAAAAAAGAGAAACATGTGTATTATATCAAAACTGTTTAAAAAAAAAAAGTATATTATCTGTGCATATTTTATCAAAGTTATATTCAGAAATTATGTAAAACAAGGCTACCGGTGTCCTCAAATTATATTTGCTTTTATAACACATTGTAAATAAATGTATTTTGGTTCTCACACCCCACTTTTTTCCAATTTAAATTTAACAGTACTGAGAAAAGAAAAACAAAAGAAAACAGAAATGATAGTGTCATCCACTATAAACATCAAGACTAAAATGTATTTAAAGTAAAACTAATGGCATATGGAGAGATGCACTGCACGAATGAATGCGTGTCTCTCAGTCGGCACAAATCTAAATGTGTGGCCTTTGAGCATGTTTTGCTCGCTTGATGTAGCGTTATATAAGTTGCTTTGGAGTCACAGCACATTTCAGATGATTTAAAAAGGAACTTATGTTTCAGAAAATACAGTATTTCTTGGCAATAATGTCTTCGTGAGTAGGAAAGAAAAAAACGATTACCCATTGGCCTTGTTCTCCCTTCAGCTTACTGAAATACAGCTTCAGTTCCTTCACTGTGATGCTGTAGCTGGCCAAAACTCCAAGCATGTCCACCATCAGATCTGAAAACATATCATTTACACACACATAAACACAAGATGAATGCTTACATTTGAAGTAATATGAAGTGACTTTTACAGAACATTTGAAGTGATATTTATAGGAGACTTTGGATTTACAGACAGCTACTGAATTCAGTCTGTATTCCTAACTATTTATGCCCTGTTATGCTAGAAACTGTATTGGATGTAATAGAAACTATAAATGTCCTATGGGTCTCTACTGGTTATTTTTTGCCTTCTAGTTGCACATTAAACTCTAATAGAATATTATATTGAATTATTATGGTCCCACTTAGGCATGGGACAATATTGTTTTCAAGGTATAACGCGGATTGGAAAAGGTTTCAAAACCACCAAAATTTTCTGCTATACTGTTCCTATGGTTTATGTAAGATTTTTTATTTACTTTTTTCTAGTTTTAGGAAGACAGTATCACCAGCAGAAAAGATGCCATTTTAAACTGTAAATAAATCTGTGTTTTAGAAACTAATAAAGATGGCAAAAGTCAATGATTTATTTCAATTATAGAGCCTGACATGTTCACTGCTCCAAAATATTATAAAACTTTCTCAAAATAAAATGTATTGTGTTAAAAGGGGGAAAAAGTTTTTGTTTTTTTACTCGTTGTACTCTTGTTTTTTACTTTTTACATTTAAAAAGAATATACTTTAGAGCAGTAATCACAAAACCGTGAAACAGTGATATTTTTATGCAAGGTTATCATATCGTCAGAATCTTATACCAGCCCATGCCTAGTCCCACTTTATAACAAGTGACCTTAACTAATATGTACTCACATTAAAATTAATAATTTGTTACCATGTACTTAATGCGTAAAATACATGTTTTTACATGCTTGGTAAAAAACCTGCATGTAATTATATCTGTAATTAATTTATTTAATTACATTTATCATAACATTGTGGACCACACCTTACACTTTAACCCACCCACAAAACCTACCCATACCACTAAAGCAGCCCCTAAAGCTACCCGTATCCCACCTCAAGAGCACCAGAAGTGTTCTACAATACATTATGAACACATCAAGTACATTGTATTTATTTTTTGATGTAAGTACCTAGTAGCCTAACCAGGGACTTTGGCTAGAAGCCTATATTCAGAGCATCAGCTGTTTTAAACTGTAGCAATGTTATACTGCATTGTCACCGTTAAACCTACTACTAATAAAAATATTTACAAAGACATTTGTAGTGAAAACCACCACAACTTCTTTTATGGTTTCTTTAAACTTTTTTTCAAAGCTGCATCACCACAAAACCAAACATCTTTCAGCAAGTGAAACAAGATGCAGACTAACGATACTCTCATTCTTTATTATACTATAGAAAACTTCCAACTATAAACACTATATTATTATATCAGTGCTTCCCACAGGTTTGAAATATACTTGCGGTGGTAGCCAGATTGAAACACATTTATTACCCAGGGCACAAAACTGACACAAAATGTATGTGCTTTTTAGCAATATTTTTAACAATCTATTATGACACTGTTATACACTGTTTCTTTTCAATAGGTCAAAGTTTTTAAAAAGTCTGTAGAAATAAAAAAGATACTCCATTTCTCTAATTTTTATGACAATCAAATAGAGACAATAACTCTAAAATACATATTTATTAATGATTAATTAATAATTAAAATAAAAAGTGTAGATTATTTAAATAAGGCAAATTAGTTGATTAAACATTTCTAATGATGTACATTTTGCAGCCAGTTTAGATGTTATTTCGTCCCCCTAATATAGTAAGGTTTTTGAATCATTTATTTATTAATTTTCTTTTCGGCTTAGTCCCTTTATTAATCTGGGGTCGCCACAGCAAAATGAACCGCCAACTAATCCAGCACGTTTTTATGCAGCGGATGCCCTTCCAACCGCAACCCATCACTGGGAAAAGTTTATGAATTGTTTAGATTAAAGAATCTACTAAATACTTTTTCTCTCAGTCTAGAGGCTGTACGCACTGTCAGCTGTGAAGCCAAGTCTTTAATAAAAGAGTAATGTAAAAATGCATACAATTAACAACAAAGTAAAAGCAAAAGTCAACTCCCGGATATTTTAGGGGATTTAGGAACACGGGGATGCATTTTTAAGCTCAAATAAAGAACATCTCTTTGGGTCTCTGCAGAGCCTGAGAAACTGTCTGAGGAAGTGTTGTTGACAGTCCCTTGTACATGCACAATGAGCAGTTTGAAATTTGTAGGGCAAGAGAAGATCTTCCACTGATTAATCAAACGCGCATGCTTAGTTATCTTGGACTGATAAAAAAAGTGTAAAAGAATAATAATATTTATAAAAAAAAAAATTTTTTAAATGTTTAAACTTCATCAAATATACTTGGGCGGTTGTTAATATACCTGGGCGGCCCGCCCAAGTAAAGTCTATGTGTGGGAAGCACTGACTCTATTATGCTATGTTTTCTTCTATACTCGTGATGGTTTGCATGTGCTACACCTTTTACAACATGTGCTAAAACATTGAGGACAAGCAAATCTGTTCTGTTAAAGAGGCAGAATTGCACCTGTGATCAAGTTGCATTTAGGCTTCATCATGGTCCAGTAACATTGAGATTTAAACAGTTGCATACACTCAAACTTTTTTTTAAACAGTAATGTAAAAATCTATATTTGGAAGGCTCTGGCATGCCAAACTGAGCATTGTGGCTGATTAGCCATGTCTGACTCTGAGCTCTGCTGTGTGACAGTGCTGCCAGGATGAACTACATGCTGACTGAGCAATGATAGAAACTCATCAGCCTCGTGGAGAGCGTCACGACTCATAATTACGCATATAATCTAAGCACTAGGACAATGTTACAATGCAGTGTAGAGCGCTGGGTGGATATGTTGAATATTCATGTCGATTTTATTTCTCCCAATGTATAGTTAAAATGATACCATGCCACAGACTAGTATAAATACAAAAGTCCTTTAGAAGGTTGATAATGTTATTAATAAATATTTAAAGCTCAAAGTTATAAAAAGTACATGGGTGACTTGAATTGTTAGCCCCAATGCCAGTTATATTTCATAACCCTTTCCTTTGAAGAAGAGTAAAGGTGTAGGGATGAAGATATTCCCTGTATGACTGCTACAACACCCGTATGCGTCATCATATGTTGCTGCTATCTCATACGTCAAACAAGATGTCGTCTGCCATAGTCATTCCAGAAGGCAGTCAAGTTTAAGCCTCCGGGTTTCCTCAGGCATCCCTGTTACGACTGATGGATGTTGTTGCGAGAAGCACAAAACTGTACTGTGTACTTACATAGTGCTCATATTCATGGATGTAACCAGACGAAAACAACACTAACGTTATCCCAGACGTGTTGTAAAAAGCATATTCACTGTCACTAGTCTTTTCTGATTAGACTGGCCTGTTCTCTTAAGTCATCCATTTTGTGAAGTTATCAGAATTTAAAATATTGTATTGTAATACTATAAGTGACTATCATTAAGAAAATGTAACGGTTTTTAAAATGTTGCTTTGATAAATTGTAAAAATCGATCATTGTTTTTGTAAAAAATCCTTATTAATGCCTTATTTACATTTATGGTTCTCCTTGATTGCTTATTCTCATTGGAAATTCTCATATCATTTCATTTTTAAGGCTTGAAAGGCATTTTGAAGGGCTTTATGGCCCTACAACTCACCCTTACGCCTCCTAGCAAAAAAGAATCAAGACCCCCATACATCTTCAAATGAATGCACTTAAATGGAGGGGTATGGGAAAGTGGATGGGCTTAAGCCTCATTCACACTATGAGCGACTCCAAGCAACAAAGCGACAAACGATCATTTCAATGCAGAGTGAGCGACCTCCATCTATGCGAGCAACAGTGTCCGTTGGCAACCAGGTGGGTGTGACGAGTGAGTCGACAAAGTTGAGAATCCTTCAAGTCTATGCAAATGAAGAGCAGCTTGCTTGAGCGACAGCCAATTGATGCACCAGTAGAGTTCATGTGATCTTTTCTCAGCTCATACAGAGGCTGGTTGTGTTCTCCATGCTGTAGACTTACAAAGACCTGCGTTTGCAGCAGGTCGCCACCCAGAGCGACAAGCAGCTACAAAGTCGTTGCTAGTGTGAATGAGGCATAAGGAATAGAATTTGTTTAATGTATAAACTATATGCTAGTAATGTATAAAGTGTATCCTATTTACTTTTTTAGGATCTGAGATAAACTATAGAGTGGTGATAATTTCAGTTTATTTACATTTTTTTTTCATTAATAATAAATGTGAATATAATTGAAATCACTACATTTATTTCGTTTTATTAGTATTATTATTTAAAGCATTTCAGATTAGTTTATTTTTATCATTACAAGTATCATGTACAGTAACTAGTCTCCAAGAGTTCGTTTCTTGCGCTTAGGCTGTATGAATTGCTAAGAATAGCAAGGTTTCCATCCTAACATGAAGCAAATGTTTTCAAAGTTTGCAAATAATGATAATAAAAACAATAGTTAAAAAAAATCACAAATGCAAATTAAGTGTTTCCATCAAGTTGTAAGAGCGGCTGACTGTAGTATTTGGTAACCTCTTAACCGACAGTAGGGGTGTCAAAATTAATCGTTTCTTCGGTGCACCGCGATGCAGACGCGGACAATTCAGTATCGGTTCAGTAATAATCATAACCGGTTATTACTGACGTCATTTACCTTTGTCGCGAGGGAGGCGATCGCGAGTATTTACATCGCTTTAACTACTTAAAACTCATAAACTGTGCACAATTTTACCGTGTGTGTTTGATGGATCATTCTTTTACTGACATATACAACAAAAGCCCCTATTTCACTGAGATTGAGAGAATAAAAGTTGCCTACTCCATTTCTCTCTTTCTCTCTCTCTCTCTCTCTCTCTCTCTCGATTTCGCTCTGTCTCTCTCTCTTTCTCACACACACACACACACACACACACACACACACACACACACACACACACACACACACACACACACACACACACACACACACACACACACACACACACACACACACACACACACACACACAGTGGCCCATTTGACCTGCTGGGGTGGCTTTTCTTCTCCTCTCGGCTGTTTTACAGCATTACGTTTAGATACAGAAACGAGCGCGTGTCTGCAGATTTTTCTCCACCGTGTCTATCATACATCAGCTGTGAGATCGCCGCTGCCGCCTGCCGCTTATAAGTGTCACTTATCTAAAGAGCGCAGCGCGTAAGAGCCAATCGCAACCGTTTTTGCTGAGGGTGTGACCAATCAAAGAAATGTAAGAGAACTAAACAAGGATCAGAAATTGAGCTGGATGTTTATATTTGTTTATATTATTTGCTTAATGCTCATTTTGTTTAAAGTTAGTTTATATATCTGACTGTTAGTATTAAACGACAAAATTGTATTACAAATAATATATAAATATAAATATATTCATACATTTTAATACAAATGCTGCTGTGAAGAAAATATAAAACTGTGTTTGGAAAGCATTGTCAATGCACCGTGATGCATCGAGATATCAAATTGAACTGAATCGATGGCATGATAATCGTAACCGAACCGTGAGACTAGTGTAGGTTCACAGCTCTAACCGACAGTACAGTTTCAGTAACAGTACAGCCTGTTTACGACTTAAGATTGACTAAGGGTGAATTAAAATAACTACTTTACTGCTTTAAATATATAAGTTTAAAAACTATTTCAGTTTTCATAAATACTCTAAAATAATATTGCTAACATTATAATAAGCAGTACATATATTTATATTTAAATTTATTAATTAAATTGCTGTTTAATTTAGAAAACATCTCATCCGTTTTTACACACCTGCTATCATGGTCTCAGCTCGGTCTATGCGCTGTAGCACCAGCTGGATGAGGCCAATATCAGTGCAGGCCTGAAGGTTTCGTAAGCTCTTCTTCAGTACGGCCGTGAACATACTCCACACTTCTGCCTGGCAAGTGGAGTCACATTTATCCAGCAGTTCCACCATGCAGATGATGCTCTCCGTCTCCTGAATGATGAAGTTCATCTCCAGGTCAAACTGACCCCCAACCAGCTGCACAGAAACAGAAAAAAAAAATGTAAATATGAGACAATGTCAGTCTCAAGTAAAAGGCCAACAGATTAAGACAGTAGAGGAAAGATGTCTTTCAACAATGCGAAAACAAATCATCTTTACACAAAAACGGAACAAAAATCTAATCAAATGAAAGTAATAGCCTGAATATTTAGAGTTACTCCATGTTGTCGGTTTTTTTTGGCTTTATTCCTGACATTTTAATCCAAATAGCCAAATCCCAAGGCTGAAATTCATGCCAATCCCATTGTAAAACATCTGTCAGAGTCTGAATGTAAAAAAACACTTCACAACTGGATTACCGGTACAGGATTTACATCTTGCCTCATCACAGATTCACTTTTAACCCTTTGCCATAACACAGTTTGACCCCTGAGCAAGAAAGCACTACTGTAATTGCACATTGTCATGATGACAGCAGATGCTCTGAGAGCATGATTCATAAACCTAGATTAACCTTAAAATTATGACATCATGACTGAGTCCCACGCATCACAGATAAAAGCCAGAAGCTCTGCAAAACATTTTCATATAACAATGCACATTTTGGAATATATGTAATATGATATCTCATCATCATCATCATCATCATCATCATATTCAACTGTTTATCCGGAGCCAGGTTGTGGCTGCAAAAGTCTCCGAAGAAAACATCCAGACTTTCCTCTCCCCAGAAACATCGTCTAGCTTCTGTGTGGGATCCTAAGGCATTCACAGACAAGCAGAGAAACATAATCCCTCTAGCGTGTCCTGGTTTCCCCTGGGTCTCGTCCTGGTGGGATAAGCTCGGAACACCTCTCTAGGTAGGCATCCTAGATGCAGAGCCACCTCAGGTGACACAGTTACTCAGCCTATCTCTGAGGGTGCGCCCTAAACGACCGGCTTATTATGGTGGAGGGGTTTGAGCAAGATCATAAAAGTGATCATAGAAGCTATGTGGTCAGGGGCTAAATAACCCTGGTAGGGTCGCCCAAGACAAAAATGTTTAAAAGTTCAAAAACCCATTTTGAGTCCAATAAAATTGAGGACCATGATGTTGACCTGTATGGAGCAACCAAAGCATCATACTGAAGCCAGGCCTAAGGTTGGGGCTTGCATGCGAGTGGCTAGGTTATTTTTATGGGTAAGCTTGATCAGGCTCGTGTCTCCACTGCCAAATAGTACCAATGGTACCCTTTGGTGGGCGTTGTGTATGACAGAAAGTTGCAGTCGACGTCATTCTCGCTCCAGAAACTTGTGTATAAATGTTAATGACTGACCTTTCTATCAATATCAACAGGATTTGATTATAGCTGCAGATCAATGATAATGCAAAATAGTAGCTTACTGTAGGGTCTGCGATTAAATAAAAAAAAAATTATAAAATAAAACATCTATGAAAACAGAGATCCTTAGAGACTGAAATGTTACCAAGTACAAAAACAAAAACAAAATACCATTTAGGCCATATTTAGGTTAATAAATTATTATAAATATATGCAGTCAGGACAAACTTCTCATTTTTATTCTTCAACAGTACATGCAACTTAACATTTTGTTTAAAAGTAATTCAGTCACTCCGAATTCATAACAGTCCAAAAGGCGATGATAATAATTAATCATGGCAATTTGTACATGTTATAGGTTGCTGAAAGAATCGTTTGCTCCCTTGTTTTTTCGCACTTCACTCTCGCTTCACAATCACTTTAATAATCAAGCACACATTATTATCATGAGCTCAAGTATTTCGTTATTTCAAATACAGACGCGCAGCGAGTCTCTGAGCGCAGAGAGCTCTCTGAAGAAAGTGAAACCTCACGCACTTTTGGACAGCCTCGTAAACAACAACAGTACACACGGCACATTCTGTTCTTCTTCTTCGTTTTGTGGCTGTTCATCAAGACGACATCAAGGTTTGTTTGAGCTTGAGTCAACTATGGCTTGTTAGTATATGTATATAATATTATGATGTAATGTCTTGGCTGTGTATTCATACACTGGGCTTGTACACACACTAATGACGTTTCTCTGTAAACCCCCGGCATTCAGCTGCAAATTTAGCGCCACCTTTTGGTACCCTTTTGTTGTGGTAGACACCCTTTGGAAAGCGTACCCAAAAAGTGGTACAGTGCAGTTCGCTTTTTGGTACGTTTTGACAGTGGAAACAAACATGAAACGGTTTCAAACTGTACCACTCAGGGGAAACAAGCCATAAATGAGTTATTAAGCCTAGCAAAAGGAAAACGTAAGTATCAGAATGAGAGTATGGCTGATACAAGAAACGGAAGCACAAAAAAAAATGCCATTTTAATAGTGTAAACACAGTAAACAATGTTGCTGTGGTACTAATATGGCATGACTGAGCACAACAATTATTGTAGATATTTCAGTACAAGTAATGTCTATATCCTAACCTATTTACATTTTTATTTCCCAGGTTTCAGATGCAGTGTGTAATGTTTATGTAGCTACATGTGCAGTATCAATTTAACACATGGAAAGAATGATCCTTGTAAAAGGGGCAAGCCTCTTTCAAACTCCGATAAATGTCATTTGAAGATGAACAGTGCAGCTAATAAAAAAGCAATCATATGTCAGCACTTAATATTGTAAAGGGATGTTTTCACCATTAAACTGTATACTTTACTTCACATGTTAAGAAAAAAACAATGCAGAAATCCAGAGTGACTCCGTCATTTCAAAGTCACAACATTCTAAAGAGCCTGCTGTCATTTTCCATCAAACAGGCCATGACCACAATTTGATCAAGAACTGGAGCAAAGAATAAATCCACAGCCTATTGGGTAGAAACTGTCCCATTAAAATGACTGAAGGAAAGGAAGGAGGCGGTTTCACTGTCAGTCTACAGTAACAAAGGCTAACAAGGCAGGAGATAAAAAGCCATGATCAGTCTCGCACACACAAACAAACTGTGCAACCTCCTCCTTGGGCTCCTTTCTCCAATACCACTCAATGACAGATTGCTCACACTATGAGAATGGAGAAAAATTGAAATTAAGGAAAAATTGAAATAAATGGATGCATCTGATTGGCGGTCCTGCATTTTGGCCCTCCTGTTTGGCCTCTAAAATAACCCACTTTTTTTTCACCACCACATGCTAATACATCATCGCCCCCATTTACATTTGCATTCTGGGAAGAGGAGCTGATTGCGTTGTGAGGCAGCGGCACGAAGAATGGCACTCAAATAGATCTGCAGGCTTCGTGCAGGTGATTAATGGACCTGACATCCTTCCAGACGGAACGGCGGTGAATGTGACTTTGGGTGGGGGTGGTATCAGCTCACACAGAGGACGCAGTGAAAAGTGGAAGATGCTGATGTCAACCTTGTATATGCATCTGATTGGCAGAAGATCAACAGGTAGAGATAACCATCAATGAAGCTAGTCAATGTCAATATAGATTTCAAAGATAAAAACAGTTGTTGCAGCTTTTCTGATTGATTCTGATTGAATCAGCTTAATTTTTAACTCCATCACTCGTTTTTAAATGCATCACTGTGAAACATTCATTCATTCATTCGAGTCCTTTCATTAATCTGGGGTCGCCACAGCAGAATGAACTGCCAACTTATCCAGCAAATGTTATTACACAGCAGATGCCCTTCCAGCCACAACCCAGCAAATACTCCTATAAAACATCAAATTCCAAACCATACAATCAAAATATATTTATTTCAGTTTGCATTTAATTGTTTTACATGACTTATAGACGTTGCTTACACAGCGCACATGATGTCTTTGGGTGTCTCTCGAAAAATGACGTCTCACCTGTGCCCTCATTGGGGGAAATGTTTTGCAGCTTGTGTAGTAAGCAGACGCGTATGAAGTGCAAGTGATTTACATGTGAAGTCAATGCAAAGATGCATTAAGACATCCTGTGGCGCAAATTGGGCGTCTTGTGCATTTGACACGCTTCAGACTACAAAAGAACGCGGGAAACATCTAAAAATGGAGCAATGGAATAAACAGAAAAGCAAGCAGCTTACAATGATAGAGAGTGGTTCAAGGATGATTGCCGCTGCACATGACCGAATTGAAGGACATTATTTGTGCTTTTCACGTATGGCTGGTATTATAATGTTCATGAAATTAATAAATGATTTCGTTTAACTCTTTCTCTGCAATTAACGAGACAAAATGCTTCCCTGCCATTGAGGAGTTTTACGGCAATCCGGGTTTTAGGTTTTACGGTAGGGGAGGTATCACATTTCCTATGTGAGATTCATGTCAAATGCTCCGGTGAGTGAAATCTTAGAGAAAAAGTAAGTTTGTGCATAAAAATAAGAGTTACAAAACCTGCTTTTGGCTTAATCCCTAACGTTTTCGATCTGTTTTCGCTCTCGTCTTGACAGGAGACTAAAATAAAGAACCTTTATTTTTATGACTTGTGTCAGATTACACACTTTACATAGTAGGCTACCTAATTTGGTAAGATATATGTAATATTATTATTATTATTATTATTATTATTATTATCTATATATTTTTTTTTTTATTGTAAAATTCTCTGCCAATTTCTGGGAATTACCACCACAAAATCAGTAATTTTTATCGCGAAAAACCACAAAAAAATCGTGAAAATCTAGGGGGTCTGACCTATATCTCATGTCTTTGGACTGTGTCAGAAACCGGTGCACTTGGACAATAAAACAAAATCTTAATATATACAATGACAATTTTACTATATTTTGCCTTCCTAATAGCTTATTTACTGCTAATAAGCTGGTGTATAATATATGATGAAAAACCGCATATATATATCCAAAAGTGTCTAACTAGTACATCACATATTGGATTTTATTTTCAGATGTGTAATCCTGGAAGTGTTTTGACTGTGTTTACGACTGTCTGTACTCAGCTGAACTCTGGCTCACATCTCAGTGATCACTGAGGTTTATGCATAGCTAAAACCTCTTGAAGTGATTTTTTTCTTGGTTTAAGTTTAGCAATTAAAAATTACCTTTGAAGAGAAATTTA